TCAAACTAGACATCATTGAGATGGGAGCCATCTCTGTGGGCCCCGCTGTGAATAACATGTGGTAAAAAATTTGTTTCTTTACCATAGGACATGGGGTTGTCATCTTAAACCAAAGTTTTTGACCTTGACCTTTGACCTAGGAAGTTGTACATACATTATGACACACCCTCTGGTGTTGGTTAATATACATGTCAAGTATAAACTTTGAAATCATAACGGTTCTCTTGATATAGAGCGGACACAATTTGTTACGGACGGACGGACAGACTGATCACTATAGGGCAACCCACCATTCGGTGGGGCCCTAATAATTTCCCAAACTATGAAATCTTTTTAAACTGCTGCTTTCGTTTCCGTTGCAAAAAAGAACACGCTATCCGAAATGATTAGTTCTGGATTAATCAACCTTATCACAATATCAAGCAGCATCAAGCTCATCAAGCTTTTTTGCATATCAAACGCCGCGATATATTACGGTCAACTTCAGAACAAAGTAAAGCAGTGTTGGGGAATCATTAATGACACAGCAGGTCTGCCAAAATGTCCGTTTTTACAGATTTCAGACAAAACAGTGACCTAGTTTTTACACACAAGAATATAATATCTCATCATGTTCCTGAACTACATATGCATGCATTTAGGATAATATTTAATACCTGATGTCTCTACCATTAAAGAAGTGGCATTTATAACAACACATCTGGAAAGAGTTAATAGATCATGCATTGCAAGATTGAACTCCCTGCAGTCAACACAGTTCAGCTGGGGCACTTCTTAAACAAGAGGAAAAGTATTCAAATTTTTAACATCAAGAAGGGCACTAAGGGTTGTCATATATTTATAACACATCTGGAAAGAGTTAATAGATCATGCATTGCAAGATTGAACTCCCTGCAGTCAACACAGTTCAGCTGGGGCACTTCTTAAACAAGAGGCTGTCAGAGTGACAGCAAACCGGATTTTCCTGCAGAGGTCGAACCCTGAACAATTGAGCAAGTATGGACACTACATTTAAGCTTAAAACAGCTCTGAATTTGGATTGTGATTGAATATTTGACACAGCATAGGTTTGTGACACAAAATGAATGTGGTCAAAGAACTGAAATATTTGAAATTGGACATTTACCTATTATGGTCCAATATCCAAAATCCAAGTACATATTAGAATCAGCATATCAAAGAAACCCAAGAATTCAATTTTTGATGAAATCAGACTAAAGTTTTATTTAGGACCCTTTGGACCTCAATGTGGACCAATTTGATAAAGGAGCCCAAAATCCAAAATCTCTCAATACATGGTTAGATTCAGCATTTCAACGAACCCCATAAATTCAATTTTTGTTGAATCAAACAAAGTTTAATTTTGGACCCTGATTTGGACCAACTTGAAAACTGGGCCCAAAAAAAATCTAATATTTAAATACAGGTTTAGATTCAGCATTTGAAAGAACCCTATATATATTTAATTTATGTTGAAATGAAACACAGGTTAATTGTATCCATAATATTTTCTGTGCAAAGGATAATAACTCAAACTGGATAAAATTTTTCTAAAATAAGATATGATGCAATTTTTCAAAACATAATCAATAATATAATAACAACAACCAGTGATGACTAAGTTCTCTAAAATTATATATGATTTAACACTCAAACATTGTTAGAATCAGTATATCAAAGAACCAAAGAATTCAATTTTTGATGAAATTAAACAAAAGTTTAATTTAGGACCCTTTGGACCTCAATGTGGTATTATCTTATTAATAATGAAAAGAAATACAGGTTTAGATTAAGCATTTCAAAGAACCCTATATTTATTCAATTTATGTTGAAATCAAACACAGTTTAATTTTGGACACCGATTTGGACCAACTTGAAAACTGGGCCCAAAATCAGAAATCTAAATATATGTTTATTAATAAACAATATAAGCTTAGTTTTTAAAGGAGTTCACTTCATAAAAAAAAAAAAAATATATAGCATTCAGAAAATTACTTTTTACAGAATAACAAACAAACTTGCCACAAAATTCTTCAAACAATTTACCAAAGAAAAGAAGAAAAAAATCCAAAATCTTATTTATCATTAATACAATGTCTTTTCAAAATCTATAAAACTTATCAGTAACAAGAAATAATTGTAACAGGATGCTGTTACGAAGTCTCCCAAACAAAGCTCCAATAATTCGTCATTCCCATGGTCGCCTGACATTGGGCAAAGTCCAGTACAAATTGGTTTGTGATATGCATAAGTGATGCCTATGGACTGACCCTGTATGTCATTCAAATCTTCTTGAAATGACAAACAGGAATATATATGGTTATTTAGGGGTGGAGATCTGGACCGTTTACAAGTTCTCAAAAGGGGGGGGTGTGTGTGTGCGTGATCGACAGTGGACTCGCCCTTTATTTCATATGATTTGTTTTTTTGTCCCATACAAGAATATATCATACTTTAACTTTGTTTAAACCTGTTTATTTACTTTTGACTTTAATTATTTATCCCTTGTAATTTTTTATTAACTGTGTATTTGCATTCAGGTGTCACAGGTCAAATTTATTCGTTCATTGTGTGTTAATTTACGTTTTTTGATTGAGTTAAGCCTTCCAATTGATATTTTATAGTGTGTTTTTCTATGTTGTGATGTTATACTATTGTTTCAGAAAAGGGAGAAGGTTTGGTACCATTAAAACGTTTAATCCCGCTGCAAATGTTTGCACCTGTCCTAAGTCAGGAATCTGTATGTAGTTCATACGTGTTTCTCGTTTCTCGTTTTTATATAGATTAGACCGTTGGTTTTTCCGTTTGAATGGTTTCACACTAGTAATTTTTTGGGGCCCTTTATAGCTTGCTGTTCGGTGTGAGCCAATGCTCCGTGTTGAAGGCCGTACCTTAACCTATAATGGTTTACTTTTATAAATTGTAACTTGGATGGAGAGTTGTCTCATTGGTACTCATACCACATCTTTCAATATCTATATGGTTTAGGGGTGGGGATCGCGACCGTTTACAAGTTCTTAAACAGGAGGGGGTGGGGGTGACCCCAGGGGACTCACCTTTTATTTCATTTGATTTGTTTTATTGTCCCATACAAGATTATATATGGTTTCGGGGTGGGGATCTTGACCGTTTACAAGTTTTCAAAAAGAAGGGGGTGGGGGTTACTCCAGGGGACTTCCCCTAAATTTCATTTGATTTGTTTTATTGTCCTATACAAGATTATATATGGTTTTCGGGGTGGGGATCTTGAACGTTTACAAGTTTTCAAAAAGAAGGGGGTGGGGGTTACCCCAGGGGACTTCCCCTAAATTTCATTTGATTTGTTTTATTGTCCCATAGGAGAATATATATGGTTTCTTGGTGGGGATCTTGACCGTTTACAAGTTTTCAAAAAGAAGGGGGTGGGGGTTACCCCCATGGACTTCCCCTATATTTCATTTGATTTGTTTTATTGTCCCATACAAGAATATATATGGTTTCGGGATGGGGATCTTGACCGTTTACAAGTTTTCAAAAAGAAGGGGGGTGGGGATGACCCCTCTGGACTTCCCCTATATTTCATTTGATTTGTTTTATTGTCCCATACAAGAATATATATGGTTTAGGGGTGGGGATCTCGACCGTTTACAAGTTCTCCAACAGAAGGGGGTGGGGGTGACCCAGAGGGACTCGCCTTTTATTTCATTTGATTTGTTTTATTGTCCCATGCAAGAATATATATGGTTTAGGGGTGGGGATCTCGACCATTTACAAGATAAAAGTACATTCTCAAATTGAAGGGGGTGGGGGTAAGAATATATATGGTTTAGGGAGACTTAATTATCTACAAAATGTCTAATAATGAACAGTAAATTTCAAACTTCATTTATACAGTCCTTCTAGTAAATTTCAAACTTTATATATACATTCCTACAGATCTTATCAGGAAACAGAAAATTTTCAAATAAATCTGTCACTCCAATGATTATCATATGCTAAGATATTTCCCAGATCTAATAAATAATGAAAATCATACTTGCAAATCTGAAGGGTTATTCTTTTGAACAGAACTATGGTTTAACATAGTACTCTAACATTACATATATAATAATTAATAATGTAATTAACTTCAAAATGTCTAATAATATAGCTTATAATCATCACCACTTAGGAAATAGAAAATTTTCAAATAAATCTGTCACTCCAATTTTAATTTTGAGATAAGACATTTACTACGCATAGTCATAATATGATAACAAGAGAAAAATATTTAAAAATACCACTTTTGGATATAAAAAATGGCGATAACTCAAAAAGGATAAATACTAAAATAGTGAAAATTGAACTAGACCTTTTCATGTTATTGAAGAGACAGTTTGGCCTGTCTGCCTGCCCGCCCGCCCGCCGTACATCCCCAAATCAATAACCGATATTTCCTTCGAAAATCCGGTTAAAAATATGGAGGGTCATGTGGGCTATAAAAGAATGGCTGTTACATTCATGACTACCGGCGGGATTGGGGGAAAGGGGTTACAGCCCAGCAACTCTGGAACAGAAGAACAGAAAATAAAAAAAAAAATGAAAAGGAGCTTTCTTTTATCAATCCCAACACTAATGTAAGGTTTTGAGGAAATCAATCCAGGCATACTGGAGTAAGTGCGCAACATGTGAAAAATTGCCTTAATTTGAATGGTTCAAGTCCATTAACTCTAGAACAACAAAGCAAATTTAAGTTATCATACCAAGAAAGTGTTGACGGAAGGATGGGCGAACAAACAAACATTGATATACCATAATTAAGTACTGTCTTCAACAGGAAAATCGATATTCAATTACTCCAAAAAAGGTTGTCATATTTTTCTTAAAATTTGATAGATAGATCTGGACCTGCTGATCAATGCTGTAGGCATGGTGAGCAAAACTCTGTATTTAACATTTGAAGTCAACCATCTCACATTATTAAAAGATCAAATTTATATTACACAGAAACTGCAAAGCAATAATAAAATTAATGGTATTAGTTAAGTGTTTTATAATTTATTGACATATTATCATTTTCAACAATATTTACACAAAAATAAACAATGATGTGCCATAATTAATGAGCATTTAATGACTAGACAATGTAATGAAAATTAGACTTGTAACCATTTCAACTAAATTTGTAATGAACACCATTAGGCTTTTAACCATTGGAACTTTACAAGTAATGGAAATCAGGCTTGTAACCATGTCAGCTAAATATGTAATAACAGCATCAGGCTTTTAACCATAGCAACTTAAAATGTTTATGAACAACATCAGGGTTGTAACCATGTAAACTTTATATGTAATCCCTTCAGCATCAGGCTTGTTACCATGCCAACATTACATGTAATGAACAGCATCAAGTTTTTAACCATGGCAACTTAACAAATAATGACCTAACTTTGGAAACCCATGTAAAAACAAGAAAAAAAAAATCTTTTTGGCAATACAGTTACTTACATATTTCTAATTTTCCTAAATATTCAATACCTGTTTCAAAAAAAATCCAAAACAACCCTGTACATTACAACGTTTGACATGAAGCCTTCATTTGCTGAATTTATTCCATTGGTATTGTATTTCAAAATATAACATGATGTATGTTAAGTCTTAACGTAAGTATAAACTGTAAAATCTTATACGTTGCAAAACCTGAAATAATTAAGACCTTTTCATTCTGTAAAATGAATTAACCTTTATTTTCTAAAATAACATCATTCATTCCCTTACAGACTAACAGCATCATCCCCCATCCAAAAAAAAAAATCACCAATAATTTTAATCTTCAACTATAAACTATAAACTGCAAAATCAATATGTAAAAAAAAAAAAAAAATTCAATGTTTGTTACAAAAAATGAGATGCAAACAATGATTAAATGAGGCATTTTGACATGTGTCACATACATATCATGTTACTGCACCTATCCCATACATTATCCCCCACCCCTCTTATTTATCATACTGTAGATTTTCAAGTATCATCCTTTTTACAACTGGTAAAAAATCATAGTTACCATAATTCTATCATATCTTTACTAACAGACAAAAATTCAATGATCAGAGAATTATTATAAAAATAGTTTGCTTTAACTTTGGCTGAACTGTTAAGGTAGCACAATACAAAGATTTTATACCTCCAACTCCCCAGTTTTAAAATGCTGTAACTTTCTTTATAATGCTTGAAAATTTATAAAAGTGGTATTTATAGATAGCTAACAGATTACTCTTTCAAATTAATGCAATGTTAGTATTATACAACAATTATGTAATTAATTATAATTTTAACTGTGTCTACAAAATTTTACAAGAAATTTCCACTTTCAATTGAAATTAGCTTCTTCATGGATACCCCGAGAGGGTTGATTTTATAATATGTTGTTCCTAGAGCCATTATCTACAAAAGGGTGTCTCAGATTTTGGATAGAATGTATAGATCAAATTTTACACCTAATCAAATAATCTCTACTTTTATGTGGTAAGGATGTTTACACTAATTACAGATTTATGAGAGAATGGAATATGATAGCGATAATTTGAGACACCCTTTTGTAGCTCCTGCTGTGTTGATTAAGATAACGTTAAAATTTCTTGTGTAGTTATAGAGATGTCAGAGCTAAATTCATTCAAGTGAACTGACCAAGATTTTGCCATTAATTGCATAATGATGGATTACATAATGATTGCATAACAAAAATATTGCATTCATTTAAAAGACTAATCTTTTATCTATCTATATATACCTTTTTTATTAATTTGTATGCAGTCATAAGAAAGTAACATCATTTTAAAGGTTGGAGATTGGAAGTAAAAAAATCTTTGTATTGTGCTACCTTAAATGAGTATATCTGTGAATTATACATAAATTTGACATTAAGTTTATTTGGGAATGTTGCAAAATTTGTATATCTTTTTTTCAACCTATATTTTTGGAACAAATTCTTAACATGTATGACCATTTTTTCTCTGTATTTGTTTCACTCGAAGGGTCAAAGTAAAAAAAATTGTTTTATAATAACATCAATACTTAATATCTATATATATAGGGGTTAGTTCTTCATATAGTATTAAGTTAATATATCTGAGGGGTTAATGGCATACAAACTTTTTGTCTGCATATATATATATATATAATTCAGTGTTCTCCCCAGGATCTTTTTTAGTGCTGTAATAAGCATGCAATATTCGACTGATTTAACTTTTATGTCCTAACATTATCTTATGTCTTTGATGAGATATTGTTTATTTTAAATATATTAAAAAAAATAATTACAAATTCCTGATGAAATAATAGAAGTTTGTATCAGCTGAAGTTTCATTTAATATAGTATTATAGGATCATTTTTTGTAGAGGTTATTGATGTGTAAACAATTCACTCACAAACCAATAAAAGTCCAAAGTTTCTGCATTTTTTAAAAATTCTATCAAGTAAGAAACTTAAAATAAATTTGAATCTTTCTGGCAAGGAGGTTATTTCATTATCTTTTTATTGAATTGGTCCCCCCTGTACACATTCCACAACTAGAACCAGTAGATAAGAGAACAGAAAGCAAACAGGTAAGTGCAGGAAACGCAAAACTGAAAAAATAATGATTCCTTCACTGATATTGAACTTCGCATTTAGTCCTTTCTATTCAACTACCCAACAATCTATTTTCTCAATTTTCACATTATCCTGCTATAAATATATGAGGGAATACTAATATTTGCGACGATCGATATTCGCCTCATTTTTCCACTCTCGAAAATTAGTTTGTTTAGAGTCTAATAAGATAACACTGGTTAAATGCAGTAGCCCTGGATCTGCAGCACATTCACTGCCTGGGGAGAACACAGTATTTACACATAAGGTACATACATTTTACTTCTGCTGCCTACCAATTACACATTCTGTTAAATAGTCTTTTAACTTGATTGTAACATTCATTCAAATCATCACAAAACACATTCTTCCAAATAAAAAACAAAAAAAATAAAAAAATCTGTTCTGGATTACAGTTCTGTGTTGTCTGATTAGTGTATTGTGTAATTAAATAAGAAGTGATCATAAAACTACAGGCTAAGAGACAAACATTTAGTCCAACCATTAATAGAAGATTTAATTTGTACTAAATGTTAAACAGAGTTCCTATCAAGGATTGATTGATTGTTGGTTGCTTAACATCCAGTGGCAATCCTATCCAGAAAGTCTTCCCCTCCAACACATGTTTCAGAGATGAAATGTATGTTTAAAAAGTGGCATACTTTGACATAAACTGCCTTATAAAAAGTGAAAATGCCTAACTAATAATACAAAAGTATAAGACATCAAATACTGTATTTGGATTTCAGAATATAGAATATATTAAATATTTAACCATGTTAAGTTGACATTTGGATGCATACAGTAAAGTTCACTGATGTCTTTGTCATAATGTTAAATTCATGGTCTACTGAATGAATGGAAATACAAGGCAGCATCCAATGTAAAAAGTTTACCCCAAATATATTTTAGATTGTATGTTACTTCTAACATTTGCCGATGAAATCATAAAATCCCAAATATATGAATTGTATAATAAATTCTGTACTAACATCCTGATATTTTTATATAAATTCAACATAGCATGGTACAGATGACATAAATATTGCTCCTTTTCCCATAATTTTACAAATCAACAATTTTTCCCATTATAAAGCTCTTTCTTTACAATTAAGAAGTTCAGAAATACTACTTTTTATCTCTACTAAATAACAGTCTTACACACACTCATATGTCTTTCACACACTCAAATGTCTTGCACTCACTTACATGTCTTAAACACACTCATATGTCTTACACGCACTCTAAACACTACTAAACAGCTAACAAACACAAGGATCTCCATGTGTTGAGAAAACAACACTGTGAACATAAATACGAGGGTTTTGTGTCTTTGGCATAAAATAACTAATTGGAAGCTCATATAAAACATGATCTTGCAAACAAAAGTGAGAATGGTGTTTCTCACTGAGAGGGATCATTCTAACAAATAATTGAAAGAATAACTAATAAAATCTCAATGTCACATGAAACAAATCATGGCACTTAAGTGTTGTCAATAGTAGCACTATGGTTCAATGGTTAACAGCACAATCATTCTAAAACTCTATCTCCCATTTTCTAAGATAAAATATATTATACTCTAATCTCCACATAACTGTTATTCATCTAATAATAATTATTGTCACATTCATTTAACTCTCAATTGAGATTTGTTTATTTTCCTTGAGATTCACACATAATAATACTTGAATAACATCTTTTTAGAGTTGCCTCCCCTTGATTATGATCAATCAAGCTGACATCTCATAGTTGTGTCCCCTTGATGGCAAGGAACCAAGCAGGACTATCACAGATTTAAATGAGGAATTGCACCATTAAATGTTCATACAGCTGATACTTGTTCTTCTTCATCATGATCTGTAAAAATAAGGAATAATATTTATCTCTTTTATCTTTTTCCTCCTCAATATGATGTTTTACCCACAAGGACTGTTTTGTAAATTTTAAAACACTTGTTGTACATTGACTGTGGTTCACTGCAGTAATCTTCTACAAATTGGCTCCCAATATTTTGACTGAAATGTGTGCATTTTTATCTTTTTCTTTGTCATTTATTTTTTCAGGTTTTATTCTTTTTTATATTTTAAGAGATGGTCATTAGAAAACCTTTTTTAAGTTTAACCTTGGTGGTTCTTTTTCATGTTCGCCTATCTCTAGTGAAATGAGTCCTGTGTTCATTCCCTGACCAGATCAAAAGCAGAAATTTATTGAAATGAAGTGTTTAAGAATAAAGATCAATGCTTAGTTCAACAAAGATGACTGTCTGGTTGAAAGTGGTTGGATATGTGTCACAAAATGTGTATATTGACCCCTAGATAATTTTGCTTTTTTGTGTCAATGGGTTGTTGTCTCCTTGACATATACCCTACATTTCCTTTTATTCAAGTTCCTGAATGTGAATGCATATTTTATAGCAAATAGGACAATCCTACATGATTCACTCTCCAAGAATCCCAGAGTAATTTTTTTTGAATTTTGAATTTACCATTAAATTATGACTGATTGATTACTGGTATGAAAAAAAGAATTTCAAGCGATTATATTTAATTATTTTCACTTTACCTAACTTTATTTTCTTTACAAACAATAACAACATTTAATAATTCAAGTATAGAGCTTTTTCAACGAATAAAGTTGCATAACTCCTCAGTGTCATATCAGAAATTTATAAAAAACAAGAGTGCACACGCTGAAATGTCTCGCCTTCTTTACTAATCATCGATATTATGTTGATAGTCCTAAATATAAAGCTTTATTACAACTGTCACATAAACTTAACATTAACCAAGTAAACTAAACATTGACCAATGAACCATGAAAATGAGGTCAAGGTCAGATGAACCATGCTAGGCAGGCATGTACAGCTAACAATTCTTCCATACAACAAATAGAGTTGACCTATTGCTTATAGTTTAAGAAAAACAGACCAAAACACAAAAACTTAACACTGAGCAATGAACCTTGAAAATGAGGTCAAGGTCAAATAAAACCTGCGTGACTGCCAAATAGATCATAAAATATTTCCATACACCAAATATAGTTGAACTATTGCATATAGTATAAGAAAAACAGACCAAAACACAAAAACTTAACTATAACCACTGAACCATGAAAATGAGGTCAAGGTCAGATGACACCTGCCAGTTGGACATGTACACCTTACAGTCCTTCCATACACCAAATATACTAGACCTATTGCTTATAGTATCTGAGATATGGACTTGACCACCAAAACTTAACCTTGTTCATTGATCCATGAAATGAGGTCGAGGTCAAGTGAAAACTATCTGACGGGCATGAGGACCTTGCAAGGTACGCACATACCAAATATAGTTGAACTATTGCACATAGTATTAGAAAAAAAGACCAAAACTCAAAAACTTAACTTTGACCACTGAACCATGAAAATAAGGTCAAGGTCAGATGACACCTGCCCGCTAGACATGTACACCTTACAATCATTCCATACACCAAATATAGTAGACCTATGGCATACAGTATAAGAAAAACAGACCAAAACACAAAAACTTAACTATAACCACTGAACCATGAAAATGAGGTCAAGGTCAGATGATACCTGCCAGTTGGACATGTACACCTTACAGTCCTTCCATACACCGAATATACTAGACCTATTGCTTATAGTATCTGAGATATGGACTTGACCACCAAAACTTAACCTTGTTCACTGATCCATGAAATGAGGTCGAGGTCAAGTGAAAACTGTCTGACGGGCATGAGGACCTTGCAAGGTACGCACATACAAAATATAGTTATCTTATTACTTATAATAAGAGAGAATCTAACATTACAAAAAATCTGAACTTTTTTTTCAAGTAGTCACTGAACCATGAAAATGAGGTCAAGGACATTGGACATGTGACTGACGGAAACTTCGTAACATGAGGCATCCATATACAAAGTATGAAGCATCCAGACCTTCCACCTTCTAAAATATAAAGCTTTTAAGAAGTTAGCTAACGCCGCCGCCGCCGCCGCCTCCGCCGTAGCCGCCGCCGCCGCCGCCGGATCGCTATCCCTATGTCGAGCTTTCTGCGACAAAAGTCGCAGGCTCGACAAAAAAACAACTAATTAGTGCTTATTTTAATTGATATAAAACAGTCACAAAAGTTTCATGAAAATTGGATGAAGTATTTTTGAGTTATTGTCCGACATGTTGACGACGAATGGACAGACAGATGGACACAGTATACCATAATAAGTCCCGGAAACGGGCGTATAAAAAAAATCTTCAGAACAGCAGAGACATATAATACACCAGATTGACAACTCCTTTCAATGGCAATATAATCTACTCAAATATCATACTGCTCTCCCATTATTTTTCAAACTTCTTTTTCTCAATCAGACTTATTACTTCTCTTTTAATTTTTCCAAATATGGTTGAAAAAGTTTGAAAATTATACCTTTTTAAAAGATTACTGTATTTGGCAGTGTATAGCACACAATTGTGTATAATACACAGCATGTATAATACATAAACAAATGATGCAAGTAAAAAATTGACATCAAGATATTGAAAATTCAAGGTAGTCACAGAAAGAGGATTGGTGTAGCTATAGCTGAAACTTCTTTTTTGTTTTTTGATAGTACAAATATGATGTTAAAAATCGGGAAATACTTTAGCACAAATATGAAATTATAAATAGGGAAATATAAATAATATCTTGATATTGCAGGTAATAATCATACTTTTTTTGTGATTTTACGAAAATACGATTTTAATTTGTACTCAATCATTTTCAATGAAATCATGTGATATCATGAGATTTGATCTAGTTGTCAATCTCTTGTATTATATGTCTATGTTACAGTATAAAATAACAAGTGCTTTGTGAACTTTTAATATGCCATTAGATTTTTCATCTATAACATGTAGGTCTACTGCTAAAATTTTGTAACAGTGTGCATAGCATCAACATTCGAAAAATAACAAACTGTATTCTATTGTTAACTAATGTAACCAACGTCCCAGTCACCATCTCAAATAGAAACAAAATTATGCAAACGGAAAGTTAATAAAATAATCAAGGTTAAAACAGGGAAAAAACAAACTGATGATAAAATGTATTAACTGAAATCCTGATCTACTGCTGATAGTATTTGTTAAGAGACATGTTAGCAATTGATCTACCCCCCATTTCTCCTAAATTTAATAAATTTCTCCCATTTGTTCCCCCCTTGAGACGACCCCCCAAGAATTGTCTGACCAATAAAACTTGGTAAAAGAAGGCAATTCATGTTTCTCTAACTAGAAATCAGATCATTGTAAATACCATCCAAAACATTCTTATCAAAAACCAAAAACTTTCATTTATTATCAAAGTACCAGATTTTCCCACACACCCTGCCCACAGTGATCATTCAAATATTTGCCATATGCATGACAGAATCTAATAAAAAGAACCTTAATAAAGGTCAATTCATTTAGTTAGGTAGCATTTTACTCATTTTTTTCTGATGATACATAATGGATGAATATCAAATCTGTTTGTTGACTTTTATATCAATGAGTATACAATGATACAGGATTTCTAGCTCTATACATGAGTGTATATACACAGCAGTACGGTCAGGATAAAGTCATGCTTTAGATCTACAAATGCATTTTCCTACAGTTTCCTTTCCGTTTGTTCAATCTCCTAATAATAAAAATCTAAACATGACCAACAATAATTTAGAATTCAAAACTGTATGTATTTTGTTTTGGTTTAATAATTAAGAAACTTTTCACTGAATAAGTGATACCCATTAAATTTCTGTATTCAAAGTTGCGTACGACTTATTCCTTGTTTTTCTTGATGACATAAGCAACATAACACCTACCCTCTGGTGCTCGGCTGTATTTAGCTGACCCGTTGTAGTATCCCATGCCCCCATCATGCGATCGGGCCCGATCATTCTTGTACAATTGCTTCTTGCGGGCAAGCTGAGCCATTTGAGTTGCAGAATGGTAGTCAGGCAAAGGAGGTCGCCGTACATTAGTGTACGTTTGGTGTATATAGTTGCTATATGCTGTTGAGAAGGCAGAAAAAGGGACAGGACTTAATAATAGCAAGTTAATAATCACCCAACATTCAAATATCTAGTATAAGTCTTGCACATTTAGGCCATTCCATTCATTTACCATTTTCATAAGTCAAATGATATTTAATTTCCATTGTTTTGAATTAAAATGTTTTTTTCTACAAATCCTTTCAAAGGAAATACTAAATGTAAAAGTCTTAAAAGAATAATGTTGCAAATTTCACCAAAACTGCAACATTGTACTAGCATTTTAGAATTTTATCAAATTTCTAATTTCTTATTCAGATCTTATTTTTTTTTAATCTAACAACAGTAAAATTAGTGCATTAATATTATCAAATGGGGAATGACCTAAATATACAATTCATATTTATTATAAAAATTTGATCTTTAATGGTAAGAATGCAAGTCTTCTTCTTTCCTTTTTTTATTTAACAAAATAGCAAAACAATAGAATTCAGAAAAGAGACAGAAGAAAAATATTTCATACATCTACAGGCAAAAATAAAATGAAATATCAAAATAAAACAAAGTGAAATCAATGCATGACAAATTACATTCTAAATTTTTGTCTCAATATTTGGAATTTTCATTTCAAGGATTTACTGTTCAAGACAAATATATTTACTTACTATAGAAACATTTATTTGGGTTCAAATTTTGTGGCTTTAATGATCTATAATAGATATCATTGGGATACATTTTCCTGGTTTAAGGAAGAGATTTTCTTTATTTATTATTTTTTGTTGGGGTTTTCTTTTTATTGTTAAAATAAACCATATTAAAACCTCGACAAAAATTTCTGCTTTTCCAGGTGGATGTCATTTGAATTTTACCAAAGAAATACCCTTGAGTAGTCTTAAAAAGTGACAAAAAATTCAGAATGTAATTTGAACTGATCAACAGTAAAGTATATTGATTAGGTAGTGACAAACTAGCATTTGGGATTACCATGCAATGCATACATTCCACTAATATTTTCCCCATTCCATTCAGCTGGCAATTACCCATCCCATAATTCAATATAAATACGTTATAAATAACAAGACGTCAAATATTCACAACTTTTCTAGAAATAATTTTTTTAAATTTGTGGATTTACGCTTCATTTGATCAAATGGTATAAATATTTAAAGTAAGAGAGATAAACTTATGTCCACAATTTTCTCATATTTGTGATTTCAAAATCTACATTTCATATTTTTTCTACTATGACAACAGTCAAGACGTTTTCTAAACCCCAGGACTTTTTTTCCTGAAATTTGTAAAATAATCACAAAATATTCACTCAATAATAATTAATGTAAAATTATGCAAACCAATAATAATATTCAAGCTAAATTATACAATGAAAAAAACCTACATATTGAAAATGAATGAGTTTATGAGTTATTACCAGCGTGTGTTATGCCATGCCAACAAAATGAAAACCAAAACAGCTACATGCTATAGCACACTAAAATGAAAAGCTTCAAGTTGTCACTCATCTTTCTTTAAAATATTTCCTATAACTGCAATGCATTCCTTAAATTGACTGCTTTAAATCTTTGAAACCCAAAAAAATCTATTAAAAAATGTAAAAGACAGCCCAAAGAAAATTGCAATGTTTCAGCAAAAATATATACCATTATTACTAGAAGTAATTAATCTTGTTTCAACAAACGTGACCTAATATTTAGACAGATATATTCTGTTCTGAATGTTTGGAGTAGATTTTAGATCAACCAGCATTGATTAAAGGTGTGTCTTGTTATTGACTATAACAAGATCCTATCTACTATACTTCCTCTGTTTAGCAAAAACCAGCTTTGGCAGGAAACCTTCTTCTCTTCCTACAGTAGTAATACTGTAGTATTTTGAATCTCAGTTCAAAGGTCACCTTTCTTGTAAGGTCAGTTTTCTCTGATCCTGAGGATGACCTTTATATACTAGTTTAACTGTAAATTGATTCATATTAAATTCATTATTGATCAAGAAGAGTATCCCCATTAATAAAGATCCAAATAATAAAATGAAATCTACACCGTTTACAATCATAGGAAGGATTAAAGATCTCCTGAAGGTATTATCAACTTTAAAAAATATAACAGATACATGTTACCAACTCCGGGGTAGATTGATCTGAAACGTACAGCAAATATTGCCATCCACCATTATATCTAATGTACAGCAAATATTGCCATCATCCATTACATCTAATGTACAGCAAATATTGCTATCCACCATTACATTTAATGTACAGCAAATATTGCCATCCACCATTACATTTAATCAATTCGTTGATTTAGAATCTACTCCAAGCTCATTTTAAGACAGTGAGTAAGGATCTTTTACATAATAACTAAATCTACTAATCACTGAATACACTAAAGAAACTTCAGAATGTTGTCAGCTTGAAACTTTTCATCTTACGAGCAAATTAATAATGATATGAACTGACACATGCCATCACAAACAATGGTGGGTAAATGGATGAGAATGATTTCTCACCTGGCGAGTTTTGCATAACCACATGGTATGGCGGCAGGGGTGGCCGCACCTGTGGCTGTGCTACAGGTGGAGACTGTTGTTGAGATTGAGATGTCGCTGGAAGATACAACAATGTCGTACAATACAAGAGATACACATACACAGGAGATAAACAACAAATTATACTCATATCATGGATAAAGAAATACCTATAACCCAGAGTTTAATCTGTAAAAAAACATATGAAAGGATTTCCTTGAGCACAACACTGGTGTTAACTTCAACAGTTATGCTAGAGTCCAAAAAGTTGGAGCCAAAATATAAAAATATTGTAAATCATTAATATAAAGTAAAATTTAATAATTACATAATTTTTTTCTCATAAGATGCAGGTTCACTTTATGTCATGACTTTTGCTATTTCCAAACTAAATAATTCCTTGTGAATAATTGCTGTTCCAGAATGAACAGAATGATATATCATTGTCTACAATGAAAATTTCATTTGTAACTGTTACAAAGAAAGGTTAGAAATTCTCTTCGATCAGACTAATATCAGAGCTTTAAAGTCTTAATTCAACTGTATCCCTAAACATCAGGATATTATCAGAAGATTGAAAAGTGTCACATCTCTTCCTGTCTTGTACTGATAAATTTGATATCTGATGACAGCTTGTTATTTCCTGAAACAAACTGACCCAAATGTATACCCCCTCTCAATTCAAATCCCAAGATCAATTTCTACATTTCACAGATAAAAGTTTTATTTAAATTACCCCAAATTTTTTTACTCTTAATAGCTTTGTTAAAATCGTTAAATTTGAACCCTAAATTCCTACCAATATGTTCAAGTGAAGACCACCAAAATCTTTTTTTTTTATTACCGTTATTATGCTCAATAACAAGTTGCAAAAGTATAGAAATAAAATATAGCCAAGTGCCTGAAAAAGCAGCTACTAGCAAATTTTGGCAAGGTTTGCAAATGCAAAAAGTATAGATGCAAAATAACCCTGAACCAAAGCAATATCAATCTGCATATATATATATATACAGCATCAGAGAATAACAGAAGCGGGTACAATACTACAAGTAAGGGTCAATATACATACATGGGATTTACACTACAGTTCGTGTGAATTGTACTATGTTCACCCATTCACAGTGAGAAGTCGATCCTATGTGCACCTTACTTTACATCTTGTATTTTGTAGAAATGAAAATTTAAACACTTTTCTGCTTATCTCCATGAATTGAACTAATACTTTAAATAATAAATTGCACAATAAACCGCATGTCTAGTTCACAAGGTGGACAGTTGAACACGGTAGAAGCTTTGCCCACCCCATTCCAACTATGGATGGCTGGGAAAATCCACCTGACCTGTAGTGTACTATATTCAATCAAATGAACAAATTGGAAATTGTTTAAAAAACAAGTATCATGTCTTGTAGTGACTGAAGGGAGACAACCTTCATACTTTATCAAATATAAGGACAAATGTATGATGAGAGAATAGAAGACATTTACCATTAATTCGTTTATGACTTATGACAAATGTTACATATTGAACTTCAATAATTTGTATGCTATTGTAAATAATTCTTTTTCAATTGTTCAAATTTACTATACATAATTTTTCTTTTCAATCAAATCTGATAAATTATTTTCTTTTGGAAATAAACATTCCAAATTTCTTGAAAGATGCTTAGATAACTATAGATCAACATTTTAAATATTAAAATAAAAAAAAGAAATATATACTAGTATTCAAATCAAATTTTGAAAGTACATTCCAAGGAAATATCTTTCAACACTGAATTCTTTTCACAATACTTCATTGCACATCTTCATATCTTTTTAGATTTTCCATATCTTTTCACTCGGGTTCAAAAATTAATATTTTTATTCAGTAAAATTTTAAGGCACATTTACCAATGATCTTAAATATATGTTTAATTTATGAACCTTCTCCAAAAATAAATCCCTTAATAAAAAGACTAATATTTCAAAAGTGTAAGATTATAAGTCTTTTTACGATATAAATCAACTTAAAATAGACATATACAAAATATACAGTGAAGAGGAAACATCAATGGTAGATAAGTATATCCAATGAACGCACTCTTAAAACTTCCTGCAATTACTGTAGATTACAATTTCCAATTGCTTCTGAATTTGATACATACCGGTCTGAGGAGGTACAAATCTATGATGAGGAGATATAGTTCCTCCTGATCCTGCCGAATGTACGCTTTGGGAGTCGTAACTGTTCCGCCCAGAATCACTCTCGTATGTGGGAGGACAACTATGGCTACTACCTGTGGGACTTGCAGATTCTGTTGAACCAAGGGATCCTACAAAAGAATTCAGTACAAATCACAAAAGTCAAGCTTTACCCAAAAGCCAAATACTCATACACTGTATATTCTTTATGTTTGTAGATACAGTGTACAATGTAATAAATTTCTTTGACTGAGGAAAAATGATTAAAAATTCCTCAAATGGATCCATAATAGCAGATTACACAAACTTAGGTACTGTCTTTTGTAAATTTTGCTGAAAAATGACTTTGTTCCCAAGTCTAGAAAATAGGGGAAAAAATCCTCAAACAATTCCATAATAGCAGGTGTACAATTTCCTTTTGTGTTCAATCTATCTGTAAAATTTCAAGGATCTGGTTTGAAAACAGTAGGAGAAATTATTTTATGTATAGAAATTTAGTTATGATAACCAAAAAGAGGTAACCCTTTTTTCCTTTTTGCTCTGCTGATGGCACCCATGATGTTGCTATAAACAAGACAAGTAAAAATCTACCAACACCTATGTCTTGTTTCATAACATACATCGACGAGACAAACACTTAGGAAATAATAAACATTCATTTGAAAGTATATAAACAAAAAGTCAACTTGATTAACTTCTCCATGCAGAGAAATATTACAAATAGACAATCAAGCATAAACAAAACAAGAAAGAAATGCATGCCATAAAAAAACCCTAAGAAATGGTTAGAGATTTTTACTAATCATTTTCATCAAGAAAATGTAAATAATTTCAAGCTTAACAACCTTACCGTTAGAATACTCTCCTCATTTGTCAAAAAAAGAAAAAAAAACATATTCTGTAATTTTGTAAGTTCTTACCAGTCCGAACAGGTTTGTGTCTTGAGCTGATATGGCTCAGAGATATCACAGATGAACTCTCAGGAGTAAGATGAACTGGTCGAGTGTGTCTCGGTGAATGTTGCTGCCGTCGATTTGACATTGGACTAGTGAGATTGGTTGGGGGATGATGATGTGTATGCTTAGATGTGTGGGGTCGGACTTTATCAGACAAACCCATGAGTTTTCGTATGGCTTCGGGAGACTCAGCACCTAATTAAGCAAAAGTCACATGCAATATTAGTTACGAGGAAATAAGAAATCATTCAATAGCTCGGAAATTATTCTATATATAGAAATTTAGTAATAACTTTGTAATTCTAAGGCCTCATGATAATTTATGTCTTTAGAAGGTTTTATCAAATAGGATAAATTGAGATGCATTTTTCAAGAATACATCAACGAGTTCAAATATGCCTATCTATTTAAGTAGGCATTTAGCCCCCATCTCTTTTTGAATGGTTATTCTTCAAACAGCAAAACAAACGTGGGGTGATTTTTCCAGGAAAACAAAATCATTTTGTTTGAATATTAAAAAATCAAATTAACAATGCCCACAACGGAATGGGCTCAGAGAAATAAAGATGGCAGCTTTTGAAAGGGGAAACATTCTACTTTGATAAATTGAAAGATTTCTAAGACTGGGGAAACAAAAGAATAAATAAAAGATATATTCAAAAAACAGCAATACAAAATGTTGTCATGACAGAAGAGAAGCTTTAATAACAGGCAAAGTAAACAGAAAATGATGACTGATCAATTATCATGCTGAAGGTCAATATACAAAGAACATACATAATTAAATATATAAGCAATGTTTATCAATGAAATATCACATACAACTAGAGAGAAACTTTTATTTATTTGCAGAAAATATTATTATTGAAATTTAGTAAAAGGTTCCACCGAACCCTGTGTCTCACCTGCGGTTGGTACTGTCAAATTAAAAGTGTAATGTTGACTTAAAAAGTGAGTCCATTTATCAGTAAAATACAGAATTCAAAAATAAATTGTAACTTTTTGTTTAGATGCTATTTTTGGTCTTGAAGATTAGCTTCTGTCCAAGATTCGTAACAATCAATGAAGGTTTACAAATTTCTTAAGTCAAAAAAATGTAATCCCTGACTGTCTGTAAAATATTAACTGTAAAAACCTAAGTCATGTATCAGAAAAATACTGAAAATTAAAAAAATTATATCCACTTATCAATAAAATATGTAAAATGAAAATAATTAGTTTTAAAATTTGCTCTGGATACTGTCTTCTGGTCATAAACAAGCTTCTGTCCAAATTTCATAAAGGCTTGACAAAGTTATTGATGTCTAAAAAAAACTATAACCACAGACTGAACCTAAATATTGAGAATCGCTATGTCTTGCTTTCATCACTTTGCAAGGATGGAATTGAAGATGAATTCCATTTCCTCATTAAATGTAAAGCGTTAGAATTTAATAGAAATATAATCTTTTGTAATTTAAGTGATATAGTTCCATCTTTTGTTAAAATGTCTGAACAAGATAAATTTAGTTTCATTTTGAAAAGTAATGATACTGACATTTGTACTGTATGTGTAGCTGGAATAAGCTATATGTATGATTTGAACATTCATTTAAAGTAAACATAATGTTGTTAAGAACTGTTGTAGTATTAAAGCTTATTCTAATAGCTTGAATTAATAATATAGTATGAATAACACCTCCACGCAATGTAGATATAAAATATGTGTCTCTTATCATTGAGAAAATATGTCTCTGTATATTTGTTTTTGTTTATTTTTGTCTATTTTTTGTATTTGTATTTTGTATATGTCAGCTGGTATCATTCCTGTATTGGAATTTACACCAATAAAATTATTTGATTTGATTTGATTTGATTTGCTTTTCCAAAATAAATGTCGGAGGCTCAACTAAAAATTAAAAGGTTGAATTTTCTCAAAATTTTGATGTTTAACAGATAGCAGCAATACAAAATATTACCCAACTATAAAAGGGTCTTTCAAATTGGCTGATTTCACTGGCTCAAGACAATTTGTTCACTTCTTACGAAGTCTACATGACATTTTATACTGTATTTCTACTTACCAAATCTGGGACCACTTGGGACTATAACTTTCTTTTCTTCAGTTAAATTTGGTGTTGAAACACTGCTGCTTAATGCATGTAATGTGTGATCTTTCTTTACTGTAGAAGAAATAAAATTTTAGCAATGCAGATCCCAAATCACTTGAAAACTTTTCTATTACTGTAGTGATCTAGTTTGCAATTCTAAACATTTTTTATACGTTTTCACTCTTATAAGTGAAATTTGGTGTTATTTCCCTGGGAAATCATGTGTTTTCAAATGTTTAAAAAAAAATAAAATAAATGGGGAATGTGTCCATGGGACACAGATGATGCCCCTGCTTGCATATCATATAAAGTTATAAAGGGACACTACCCAAATTTGTACTTGATCTGAGTTTTGTGGTAATAAGTATTGTGTATCAGTTTCATAACATTTGGTTGAGGCAAACTAAAGTTAGAGAACGGAAACCTCAGCAATTTTTCCATTTGTAAAGGGGCATAACTCTAGAACAGTAAAAGTGACGCCACCAAAATTCAAACTTGATCTGTGTTTTGTGGTAATCAGCATTGTGTATAAGTTTCATAACATTTGATTGAGGCAAACTAAAGTTAAAGAAAGGAAACAAAAGTTTCAGCAATTTTTCCATTTATAAAGGGGCATAACTCTAGAACGGTTAAAGTGAAGCCATCAAAAACGTTAGATAACGGAATCCAACTTTGGGATATACGGACGGACGGACAAGGGTAAAACTTAATGCCCCCTCCGCTACGGCAGGGCCATAAAAAAGAATATCACATAGAAAATTAGTAATGTAGAGAAACTTGGTTGAGCAGACATCTTTCATTTGACAGAGTCCTACCAAATCAAGATTTTTTTCAATAATTTTGTATATTCAAATTGAATATTTTGAAAAATTAGTTTTGGGTCCTTGTTTACACTGTCATTGAACATGCATCAAATATTTTCTTTTGTCGATTTATGATGTTAAGAAGTGGTTCCTTTGTAACTAAGAGTTTTGTACATATGTGTAATGCTTTGTTTCGGTATAGCAATCAAAAGAGATCCAAAACCCCAAGACATTGGAAACTCAAGTCTTGAACAATACAAATCTATATATACCATATGTCAAGCTCAAGTACATATTCATGTATCCTTTGGATCTTGGTAGCAAATATTAAACATATAGTCTCCTAACAAAACATATTCTTATAAAGTTAGCCATTACAGAATCTACAGTGTATTGTGGGTAATTTTGTTGTTCATACACCAAATATAAGTTATATAATGGTTAACTATCCATTGTGTAGGATGTTGTCAACCAATCACAAGCTTTTGCTCTGTTTTTGAAAATATTACCCAGAATGCATTAGATTCTGAATGGTTAATTATTTCCCCTACCAGGAATTTCACACTGATGAGACATTTCCATAAGTTTTTCTTCATTGTCTATCACTTTTAGATTACATAGATATGACTTCACACGTCGTTTCATCTCGTTTTCCTCATACATCTTTTTTGCATTAGGTAACGTAGAACCACGCCGTGCCCTCATTCTCTTCATAGTGGCTATACCAGAGATCCAGGTACTTTCGTCATGACTGGGCGTACCCAAGAACATTGTACTCACATCCTGATGCAAAACAAAATAGTTCAAATATATTTTACTGATAAATATATCAATCACAAGAAGTTTGTACTTATATATCTATGTTTATGTTCATAACCTGAATGATCGACATACTTCACTTGTATTTTTTTACCTTATATATTTGCGTAATTTAAAGAATATTATGTAACATGTGGCCTGTAATGATTTTTGTCCTATTTTAGTTATGCCAATGAACTATATCTGTATATTTAATTCTTATACCATTAACACTAATATCAATACAAAGTGTATTATGAACATGTTAGCAAGGATCCACAAATTTTTTCACACAATTTTGGTAATTTTGAGATGACTTGAAAGTTCAGGTCTTTTTTTCAAACTGTTGAAATCATTCACACAAAATTCATGGCAGCAAGAAACTTGTATTGACTGGATTCATTGCATTTACTTCTTGAAGTTTCTTACCATTTTTTTATAAGCATTCAAGAACGATTTATGGAATGCAAAAGTCTAAAACTGAAATAATTTTAATGACTAAAAACGGTAAATTTCTCAGGAATCGTTAACGCTTCTTTCCATTTTGAAGACGAAATAAACACCAAAGTTTCCAGCTAATACTAAATTCTAGATTTATTAACGGGATTTATTCTGTTTATCAAATGATAGGAAATCATCGTATTTTTAAACAGAATTGGTGATAGTCTTTACTGAAAAGTTTTGAAATAATGAAGTTAGTTGTAATGGAATAGAATTTCTTTAAAGTATTATTTCTGAGCTTGATCACCACGACTGTCATTAGCCAATATCTCCCAGAGGCATCCATATGGTTATTAGGAGGACCCCCAGGATTATCATACTATACTGTTTCTGGACCATTGCTTGATAGTATCCATGTAATGAACTAAGTTAAACTTACATATTTTGCGGAAGCCATGTTGCATATATGTCTTGTTTCTCTTGCTATTAAACGGAACTTTTCAAAGTTGACTAAACCATCTACATAGGAATCATTCCCTAGATGTATAAATGTCAAATCTTTCTTTGCAATGGGGAAGAAAGGCAGCTGAAATATATAAAATATGAAAGTTTATCGAAAGCAACATTTCTAAACAAGATGTACTGTGAGGTTTTGCTCAATAGTTACACCTCAGTTCAATACAAAAATATAGTTTTCCACAAGTAAATAGAGGAACATCAAAGGAAGAAAAAATTGGTTGCTACATTACGCATAACCAGATGATTTATTGATTGATTGGTGGTTGAACACCACTTTCAGCTCTATTGTAACACCTGTAACACTGTTGATGCTGACACAGTCACATGACTGGCATACTAATAACTCATCTTTGGGGACATTTCTTGCATTTGGAACTGCTTTCTGATGCATTTCTTTTTAACCAAAACACATATATTTTACTTACTGTGACAAATTTTTTTAAACTTAGTTTTTCTGCACCATTGGTCTGCTGTCTCAATGATATATATCCTACATCTCCTTTTATTCATATTAAGAAAAGAGTTAACTGATCAATCAAATTGGTTTCAATTCTAAAACTCTAACTTACCATTGGAGGTTGAACGTTTTCATTATTCATGAGATTCCTGTATTTAGACATGTTCCTGGAGGGATCCATTAAGTCTCTTAAATCCTGCAAAGAGATAAACATAAAATAAAGTAAAATTTTTAAAATCCAGTTGAATTTATATTTTTCAAATTTCAAAAGCACAATTCAGCTAACGAGGACACACCAAATTAATAGCTTGCTTGTCTGAATCCCTGCTTCAAATTTTTCGATATGTGTTTATTTTGATGTTGTTGTTGTTGTTGTCTTTTCTTTCCACGACACGTTTCCAGATGTTACTTTTAAAAGCAAGTTTCCAGCTTTGTATTGAAATAATAAATAAATTTGAGTTCATAGGTAAAAATTTAACTCAAAATAATGAGTTTTATCAACAATGTCGCAATTGTTCATAAAATTCATAAAACTCCAAAGCACTGAGGCCAAATACACAGACTACCGACATATTTTGGTGAGACAATGACACATTACTGAATGTTAAATGCTAGTCTGGAAACGTAGTCACCATTGGCATGTCAAGTAAATTATGTTTGTCATATTTTGAACATGATCAATTAAGGATATTTGTGATTTGAACTCAAATCTCCAATAGGCATGTATGCAGATTTTTTTTTCAAAATCATGAAGTCAAGTATCCATGAAAATTAGTAACCACAAAAATAAAGTAATAGTATACTAATATGCAGATTCTGAATATTTTGACCTGTAACCTCCTGGTTACAAGGATGTAACTAAACACAAACCAACAGAGAGAAAACCTGCCCTTCCTCCTTTTTTTTAACTGGTGAGGCAATATCTGACATCATTGTTACACAAACTTCAATCATGTCCTTGTATTCATAACTTCATACTTACGTTGTATGTTTTGGCATATTTATTTGGCACTTTTTCCCAGGTATTGCGTAGCCTGTCCACACAGTTATGACTTAATCCACTTATGATAGCGAACAAAGAATTAAAGTTTTTACAATCTTTACAATGACGAGCCATTTTAATAAAATGTTTGATGAGTTTCATTCTCTTGACTAGATTCAATTCTCCACAGACTTCCGATATCACCCAGAACATCTCTCGGTTCACCAACTGAAATACACATTATTGAGGTAATAATAACATTTCACATTAAACTTTTTAAGACATAATTTTCCAGATTTTGTGATTTGTTGATTTTAATTTTGACAATACATGAACTTCCAATTGGTGCTTGTGCCAGGAAAAATTTAATGTCACAAAAAATATATCTTTACGTCATAATGCCCTATAACACATTGTTGCCCAAATAACCCCAATAACCGGGGCAGTTCATTCATAAAATTAAAATTGGAATCTAGTGTATTGTTAATGCCATTGACGTCTCTATTGCCTTAAAAAGCATGTTTAATTTATATTTTTTAATTATTAGGGAATTTAAAGAGCCAATAAGCCTCAAAACATACCTGACAACTGATATGATTTTTTCAGGTCACACTTTCGAATTTAATCGCTTATCTCAGATTTTCCAATCATCTGTTCTTAAAATAACCTACGATTTTAATACAAAGTAGCATATCCAAATCTGGATATCTAAACAAGAATGTGTCCATAGTGCATGGATGCCCCACTCGCACTATCATTTTCTATGTTCAGTGGACCGTGAAATTGGGGTCAAAACTCTAATTTGGCATTAAAATTAGAAAGATCATATCATAGGGAACATGTGTATTAAGTTTCAAGTTGATTGGACTTCAACTTCATCAAAAACTACCTTGACCAAAAACTTTAACCTGAAGTGGGACAGACGGACGAACGGACACAGAGACCGAAAAACATAATGCCTCTAGGTGGTGCATAAAAAAAGTGTTTTTTAGTTGAATAAGGTATGCTCTCTATAAATGTAAATGCAGTTCAAATGAAAGGTTTGTACTCATATGTCCAGATTTTAATTTTCAATTATTGTGATTTCAAAGGTATGACATTATTCATCAGTATTTTGTGTATTTTCTCTTTTGATCTTTTTTTGTCATAATTCTTCATATCATGCTTCTCGCTTGAGATAGAAAATTATCTCTAGTATCTGAGGCCCATTAGCAACAGCGTACTTTTTCTCAGTCATGAGAAAGATAATATATGACATCATGCGACTACATCATTGATGTTGCCTAGGAAATCAGCGATAAACAGATTATCAAGGGTCTTTCAAACTCTAGGATGTTTCTTGGCTACATTTCACGTCAGGGCTGTTGCCCATTCTCTCTTTTGAAAAACAACTGATAATCTATAATTCTACAAGCATTGCCTCCCTTTTCATATTTACCAATCAAAATTGGAAGAAACCTAAAATTTGATATAATATAAAAACAAAACTTTGCTTTGTACCTCTGAAAACTTGTTTAAGCTTGGGGTTCCATATTTTGCATTGAGCTTGAACAGGTCATCAATATACTCCGTTGGTTCTATATCTTTAAACACTTTGAAATCTTCCAACGTCAACTGTGATGCCACTTCTGTCGTGTTCAACTGTAGTAGACTTATCTGTGCCTCTCTGATCAGTTCTGACCTCAGCTCATCGGGTACCAGTGTCTCCGTGTTCAAATTATTCTTTAAGTAATACCTGAGTACACATGGAACAGTGCGCCTGGGTGAGTGATCAGAAACAAAAACACAATATTAACCCCTGGAAACTCCATGCCTGGCACACACACACACACACACACACAAACAGACAGACACTTAAATGCGATGTTAAAACATGATGATGTGTTAGATAAATTGTATATGACATATCAGAACTGTTCCATTTCATTAGGAATTATTCCTTCATAGGATGTATTCCATAACTTAAACATTTGAACATTTTTTCCATTTTTTTTTCACTTTTCATAATGGTTTGGAAAAAAATAATAACAAATTTTGTGAATTTAAAATTTTATATTTCAAAAATAATTTGACAGGATATATATGACAATATCTGTTAAAAAAAGAAGAAAAATAATCTAAAGAAAGAAAATCAACTTTCAAACTTAGGTCTGATATCACTATCATATACAATTGGATAAAGACCTTTGACCTTAGGAAATATTAAAAAGTTAATTTTATAATATTAATCTGATCTTCAACATATATTAGGAAAATCAATATTTGGTATGTATTAAAACAATTATCTGATAATTCATTTGCAGACAAAATATTTCATCATTTTGAAAATATCCTCCATTATCTTTATTATTCAAAATAATATAACAACAATTTGAAAGAATATTATACAAATTTTGTTACTAAAAATTTTCCTTTAAAGTATTTCTTTCCTGAGAAACTAGTCATTTATAAGTGGCTTCTAATATTAAAAAGAACAACAGACAATTAACTTAGAATTTTTCTTACAAATTTACAATAGTGTGAAAAAGTTCCAAAATATCAAGAAAATTCCTACTTATTTAACAAGTCTATTGTATATTAAAAACAATTTTTTCCAAGCTTAAAAAGTTTCGAACCTCAAGTGATGTTTTCCGTTGAAGGAAGTTTAACAATTGAAGGCAGATATTTAAACTTTATACCAGGTCACCTATTCTCAGTTGTCTTCCCCTTAATTGTGGGATATCAAAAATAAAAGGACAAAAAAAAACCTGCCCGATTTCAATCTTATGTCTAAAAATAAATTAAGAAAATGCAGTCTTTTTATTTGGTAAGCAGCCAAGACATTCTAAATCAATTGTTTGAATGCTGATGTTTACACCATAAAACATTTATGAGAAAACCAATTTTCTTGTTCAATTCTAATTTGCTTGTCACAAAACAAAAGTTTTTCATAAAAAAGTACCAGAGGTATAATTTACTCATTCTGAGCTACTCCCACATAAATTGTTCTGCAAGGTTTCTACAACTGAGTCAGTGGCATTTTTTCAATGCTCAGCCAATGTGAGAAAAAAGGTCTCCCCTTATAAACTGGTTATTTCAAATGCAGCAATTTTATTCACTAAAAATATTGGAGATCTTTGCATTATAGAATTTAAATGGAATTATGTTCACTTTCTTAAAGTTCATTTCTAGAATATTTCTGATTTTTAAAACATAAAATATAAATGTTGCCTGCACACTTATTTGTTTATTTAAAGTATGGATTAATACAGAATCTAGTATTATCATGCCCTTATTAAAACTAGTTCAAATTGTTAAACATATGATCATCTTTGGACAAATGCCCAATATAAAACTGGAACAGAAATGTGTATGATCACGTGATGAACCTTATACAATAATCATGAATATGAAATCTTCCGTGATTTATCAACAGGAAATCTCTACTTAGTGCAATCCAAAATACACTTACTAAATATGTAAAACTTTGTTAAATGTTAGTAACTTACTCATCAAGCAGATTAAATATATATTTTAGATATATACAGGAAGTTAATGCACATGCACGATATTAATAAACAATAAAATGCTTCGCTGGGGCGCAGCTTGATACGACCGCAGAGGTCGAACCCTGAACAGTTGGGGCAAGTATGGACACAACATTCAAGCTTGATACAGCTCTGAATTTGGATTGTTATTAAATATTTGACACAGCATAGGTTTCTGACACAGAAAGAATGTGGTCTAAGAACTTGAATTTTTTTAATATACCTATTATGGTCCAATGTCCAAAATCAAAATACATGGTTAGATTCAGCATATCAAAGAACCCCATATATTCAATTTTTGTTAAAATCAAACAAAGTTTAATTTTGAACCCCAACTTGGACAAACTTGAAAACTGGGCCCATAATCAAAAATCTAAACACATGTTTAGATTCAGCATATCAAAGAACCCCATATATTCAATTTTTGTTGAAATCAAACAAAGTTTAATTTTGGACCCCAATTTGGACCAACTTGAAAACTGGGCCCATAATCAAAAATCTAAACACATGTTTAGATTCAGCATATCAAAGAACCCCATATATTCAATTTTTGTTGAAATCAAACAAAGTTTAATTTTGGACCCCAATTTGGACCAACTTGAAAACTGGGCCCATAATCAAAAATCTAAACACATGTTTAGATTCAGCATATCAAAGAACCCCATATATTCAATTTTTGTTGAAATCAAACAAAGTTTAATTTTGGACCCAAACTTGGACCAACTTGAAAACTGGGCCCATAATCAAAAATCTAAACACATGTTTAGATTCAGCATATCAAAGAACCCCAAGAATAAAATTTTTGTTAAAATCAAACTAAGTTTAATTTTGGACCCTTTGGACCTCAATGAAGACCAATTTAAAAAACGGGACCCAAATTAAAAATCTAAAAAAACGGTTAGATTTGGCATAACAAAGAACCCCAATAATTCAATTTTTGATGAAATCAAACAAAGTTAAATTTTGGACCCTTTTGACCTCAATATGAACCAATTTGATAGTGGGGCCCACAAATAAAAAATCTAAATACATGGTTAGATTCAGCATATCAAAGAACCTCATATATTCAATTTTTGTTGAAATCAAACAAAGTTTAATTTTGGACCCCAATTTGGACCAACTTGAAAACTGGGCCCATAATCAAAAATCTAAACACATGTTTAGATTCAGCATATCAAAGAACCCCATATATTCAATTTTTGTTGAAATCAAACAAAGTTTAATTTTGGACCCCAACTTGGACCAACTTGAAAACTGGGCCCATAATCAAAAATCTAAACACATGTTTAAATTCAGCATATCAAAGAACCCCAAGAATTCAATTTTTGTTAAAATCAAACTAAGTTTAATTTTGGACCCTTTGGACCTTAATGTAGACCAATTTAAAAAACAGGACCCAAAATTAAAAATCTAAATACACGGTTAGATTTGGAATATCAAAGAACCCCAATAATTCAATTTTTGATGAAATCAAACAAAGTTTAATTTTGGACCCTTTTGACCTCAATATGAACCAATTTGATAACGGGGTCCACAAATAAAAAATCTAAATACATGGTTAGATTCAGCATATCAAAGAACCCCATATATTCAATTTTTGTTGAAATCAAACAAAGTTTAATTTTGGACCCCAATTTGGACCAACTTGAAAACTGGGCCAAAAATCAAAAATCTAAATACATGTTTAGATTCAGCATATCAAAGAACCTCATATATTCAATTTTTGCTAAAATCAAACAAAGTTTAATTTTGGACCCTTTGGACCTTAATGTAGACCAATTTGAAAACTGGACCCAAAATTAAAAATCTAAATACACTGTTAGATTCGGCATAACAAATAAATAAATGTGATCAAAGATTTTACAAATCTAATGCGCCATACTGTGCAATTAAAGATTACTTCTTAAAATTTTTCAATATTTGAAATTTGAAAAAAAAATAATATTTGAAGAATAATTCTTTTTAATTTCTGAAATCTGAAATGAGAAAAAATTGACCCCCCACAATTTCTTTTTATCCCCCCCCCTTTTTTTCCCCAAAAAATTCTTTCCCTCAAGATATGGTCATAATCTCAATTCAATTTTCCAATGGAGTTGGCAACCATAATTACCCATTTAAATTTACCATAGTGCTAACTTAATCTATTTTATAATAGAATTAAAAATATAGTGTCAAATCTTTCATATGGATTTTTTTGTAAAAAAAAAAGATGCAACATTTGCAGATATTTTTACTGGTCTTCCTGTATAAATATGCATTTCTTTAAACATAATTTAAAAGCAGTGTAAGGGAAGTAACCAAAACGTTGTATTTGGATTACCTCCCTTACACTGTTTTAAATTATCTTTATTGTTCATTAACCATTACTTTATACATAATTTAAAAGCAGTGTAAGGGAGATAATTTCAATGATGTATTTGATTTATCTCCCTTACACTGCTTTAAATTATGTTTTGTACTAAAGTATTTGTCCATTAACCAGGACAACCTTGTTTTTCCCCCTTTTTTGCCCCTAATTCCTAAACGGTTTGAGCCATAACCCCCAAAGCAAATCCTAACCATCCCTTTGTGGTATGGAAACTTGTAGTATAATTTCAGAGAGATCCATACACCGTTCCACAGTTATTGTCTGGAAACTAGAAAATGCTTATTTTTGGCCCCTTTTTGGCCCCTAATTCCTTAACTGTTGGTACCATAACCCCCAAAATCAATCCCAACCTTCCTTTTGTGGTATTTAACCTTATGGTCAAATTTCAAAAAGATCCATTCACTTAAACTAAAGTTAGAGTGCGAAAACCAATGTGTATTCGGACGACGACGCCGGACGACGACGACGACGCCGGACGACGACGACGACGACGACGACGACGCCAACGTCATACCAATATACGACCACAAAATTTTTTTGCGGTCGTATAAAAAAGTTAGTCACACGAATAAATAATTAATTAATATAATATGCAGATATATAAAAGCTATGCATTGTATGCAGCCCTTAAAACTAAGAACAGAATGTCTAAAGATCTAAAAACTATCCACAAAAAAAACTTAAACCTTTTAAAGCATTCTTAAACTAGAGCTCCTAGACACCTGAATTGCTCCCCCTGGCAAATTTACCCCTTAATTGCTCGAGAAGATAACTCCCAACAATTTTTTTCTTGGATGGCTGTTTTTCATTCAACAGTATTCCTATATAGAATGTTGCATACAGTTTCCTACCAAGTTTGGCTTAAATTGGCCAAAGAATTCTAGAAAAAGACATCTAATGTGATTTCCTAATACATTTGAATGGTAATTATTGTCTGAATATAGTTGCCATGTTTTGTCCTTGACAGACATCTAACACGATAATTGCTTGTAGAGAGTCAACTGCCAATACAGTAATTTCCATAAAAAATATTTTTAAATACTCATCCACCATAATCAAAGAATGCCTACACAGGTATTTTTTTTTTACTCCAAATGAAATCAAATCAAGAGATTTGCAGAACTTTTAATCAAAATCAAGATTTATTATGAACCATTGTTATAAGAGACCATGAAAATATGATTTCCAATAGAATATCATTGGTAACTTAATATTAGCATTGACACCTTGTTTGCCATCAAATCAAAAATGAAAATTATCTGATCAAAGTAAAAGATTGTCTTCTTATTGGATCAAAACCTAATGATGGTAATGTGTAGAAGACTTTAAATGCATTTAATATTCCTGTCTAGTTTGGTTAAAATTGGCTGCGTGGCTTCAGAGAAAAAGGTGAAAATATGAAAAAGTTAATGGAAAACAGAAGACAACAATGGATGCCAATTGATTGCAATAGAAACAAGAATGCTATTTCATTCCTAAAAACTCCTACTTAATTGATTAAACAAACATGGCTACATCTTATGCTAAACTGGTTTAAAGTATTTTTCCGTTTGACAGCAGATTTTTAATGGACAATACTGACCTAAGCCCTGTTATAAATTTTGTTATAATTGCCTGTTGATATTTACCAACTTATAATCAATCAATTTTGAGTGTGGCAGTAGACAAATTTAAATCTGACAATTCAATGATATAAACATACCATCACAATTAAAAAGTTTTCTAAAAAAAAAAATCTAACAAATTTATTTGCATTGTTCAACCAACACCAAAATGTGTAACATTAAGTTTCCAAAATTCACTCAGTATTTCCCGGAAAATTACTCCAAAAGAAGTAATGTAGAAATGTCTGAATAATGATCAATGAAAAAATGTGCATGCTGTGAACACCTTTCAACCCAAATAAGCACAAACTCAGGCTGAGTTCCAGGAGTATACCTTAATTTAACAGCACCTGCTTGTAACTCAATATATATGTTAATAAAATGGAAGAATCGAGTTCAATGTTTCAACTGGAAAAGTCGTTACACTCTATCAAGACTATATTTCCCAGAGAATATCTGTGGACTTACTACTAAATCTTTTAAACCTAAATTTACTTACTGAAATTTTTTCTGTTATTTATTTTCAAATGACATTGAATGTCCATAATTCTGTGAGTCACTGTCCAATATGAATAAAGGAAGAAGTTTGGAATATGTCAATGAGACAGCAAACCAATGACATAAAACAATCAAGAAATGTTCACATTTCATTCATTTAGTTCAAATGTTAAAAGCTTACTTTTTCTGATATTATGTTCAATGAACTAACAGGATTTATAGTAAGTCATATTACCTGGGAAATACATTGAAATCTCTTGTCTAATATATGTAACAGACATTTCCCGAAACTAACTCTCAACCCCCATATCAGTATTTAATTGAAAAAGTGCATAATTTATCTTTAAGGTGCTGTATCAATTTATATATAAACTGTGGCATGCAATTAATTCAAATATTTGAAATAAATATTGAAAACTTTAAAAATATTTAAAACATTAAAACAAATGAAAGTGTTTACCAATATGAAAAATGATCCTTAAATATTAAGGCTATTTAAACTACTTGAAGTGTGTATTGTTTTGTGTTTTTTGTCTTTTAGCCATGGTGTTGTTAGTCCTTTGATTTGTGGTTTGGGATTGCCCTCTATGTATCATCCCTACTTTAACATGGGACATTAATCAGTGACATTCTGTCTCCAAAATCTTAGATTTTGCAATAAGGAAAATTTGTGAATGACTTATAATATGTCAGGAAGTGTGATTCTATAGAAGCTAAATATATAGTTGCTATCTAACTGCAGATGGCTTTCAAGAAATATTGACTCATTTCTGAGGAAGATATAGACGGGTATATATGAAGAGTATGTTTTCTTGGCTGAAGATATTGCAAAAAGAGAAGCAAGGATGTTCTCCACTATAGACACTAAATATAATGTCTAAATTCTGGCAATTTTATATTAACTTGAAATAACTTTTACATTCATAATTTTCAAGGCTTTGTCCTAATTCAAATATAATTTAACAATCATATACAGGAGAACATCCCTGTTACGAGGTCTACATTGACATTTTTATATAGAATGGAGAAAAAGGGAATCCCTTCTACCAAGACTTTCAGCTGAGAGGATAAGCTACATATGACATCGTGTCTAATTTTGGCCTTCACTTACCTGCCATTGAGATTCTGACGATCAGGTAAATTACACATTTGATCTGGTAAACGCTTCTGTTTAATCAGACTCTCATTTTCTACAGTCACTTCACATAGAGCAAAGTTACTGAAATTAAAAATCAACAACAATAACAAATTTACATCAGAAGCATTTGATAATGTTTTTTGATAACTTCTATGTCATTTGGTCTCTGGTGGATAGTCATCTCATTAGCAATGATACCACATCCTTTTATTTCTATATTTACCATAAAATAAGATCAAATTTCTGAGAGACCCCCTGATTAAATTTGAAATCTATCCATTTTCATTAAGCCCAATATCTTGGTGTAAAATAGATACACACAATTGTGCTAACACCCCCATAGGTGCATATTATATAAACATTCTAAAATAAAAATCATTCATCTTGTAAACTGTAAGAGTTGAGAAGTTAAATATGCATCATATTTGAAAAATTTAGTAAAAATTTACCAAGTTTAACTACCTCTTGTTTTGTTGAATAATAACAATTGGTTAAAATAAAATTTCCACATTATTAGTATTTTGCACATATATTCTACCAAAATGAAAACTTTCTAGCTTGGCATTTGACAAATGATTAAATTATAATTTATGCCCAAAATTAAACCTGATTACTGAGTTGTATGGTAATATAATACTACCTGCTAGGATCTGTAACACCAAATTCTTGTAAAGCTAACATTACCACTTCTCTTGCTGTGACATCCTTTAAACACAAATATAGTGTATAATCTAACTACTGTAGTTGACTGTGTATACTATGCATTCATGAATAATATACACCCCCTTTTCAACCCCGAAATTGTGAAAAAAATCTTGTCCACTGTAAAATACCTTTCATAGAGAACTTAAACCATGTATTCAATTGTAGCTAAAATACTGCTACATGTTGATTTGATTTGGTTTGTGCTTTATTTTCTTTTTTTCTTCTGTATCTAATACTTCTTTGTAAACAACAAGTCATACTGAATTAACTGACTTTGGTGAAATTCAATCAAACAATAAATTTAATACTTTTTCACATTGCAGAAAATAGATCATAGTATAGATATAGTTTCCTGGTAATTTTCTAACAGAATGAGACCATGTTGAAGGAAAACAGAAAGGATATCTGATTGTGAATGAGACCATGTTGAAGGAAAACAGAAAGGATATCTGATTGTGAATGAGACCATGTTGAAGGAAAACAGAAAGGATATCTGATTGTGAATGAGACCATGTTGAAGGAAAACAGAAAGGATATCTGATTGTGAATGAGACCATGTTGAAGGAAAACAGAAAGGATATCTGATTGTGAATGAGACCATGTTGAAGGAAAACAGAAAGGATATCTGATTGTGAATGAGACCATGTTGAAGGAATATGAAAAGAATACCTGCTTTAAACTACATAGATCAACATAGAGCTAGTTTATGCAGATTTACTTCAAATTTTCAAAATTCAATCAGTTTAAATTTGAACCTTACTAGACACTGAACAAAAATGAGGGTTCATTGACTGTATAATACTATCTTACTTTGAGAATTTTTACACTCAATATTTGTTTGGCTTTACTAAAACTGTTTTACATCTAATCCTTTTTACACTCATTTAAAAATCTGAATATATATGATTGGCACCTGTCTATCATTAGACATCAAACTGTGCACTCTGAATACTTTCTGATAAAATATATATGGATTTCTGTCTCATTGACACTTGTGTAGTATATCTCCATGGTCAGGACATAAAGATTAGCCTAGCACTCATCAGCATATACACATTACACTTAATTTCGTACCTTGCGTATTGGTAAATATTTGAAAGACTGATCGGCCCTGAAGACTTTAACAACATGGTCAGGATACTCTGGTTTTGGATCGTCAACACTAAGTAACGACAAATCAGGATTACTGGCACTTAGATGATTAGGCATCTGAACGGTCAATGATGATGATGAGCTTTTGGATGTATTGTGAATTGATGCCGAATATAAACTCTCGTCAGATTTGTTCATGTTTTCACTGTGAATAAAATAAGAATAAATTACGATATAAAACACAACTAAAGCATATTTTAACACTATATAAATTCTTAGATTGAATAATTTGCATTAGTAAAATCATTTTCCATAGAGGGTTTTTTGCTAAGTTTTCTATGACAACTTTCTCAGCTTTTTTCCCTTGTATCTTAAGTTACTTTCTCAGAAGCCATTTTTGCTCCTGCATCTTCAATTGCTCACTAGTTTATTCGACCTTTCTTGTTTCATATCATGCATTAAAACAATATTATGTATTGAAAATATATTTTACCCATGGCAAGATTGCAGCATCTTCAAACTTAAATTATTTTCTTTGATTGCATCATTTTGCTGAATCTTTAGTAAAGCTGTTTTCTCATGCTTAAAATGATACCTTTGTTGTTTTATTGATTCTCCAGATAAATTTGTATTAGAATCTATCATAATGTCTGAATGTATACGTTTAACTTCCATAACTTGACTTAATTTTAAGATAAAAGTCATGCTTACAATTCCATATTTGAAGTACTAGCATTCCTTGGAAAGAAACCTCCAATTTTCTTAATAAACGCTTTCTTTCCAACTGTTTTGAACCAAGATTTATCCTTTTTGTCGAAGCTTTTATCTTTCATAGATGATTTAATGAATGGAGACATATTATCTAAATCTGGAGCAGATAATCGTTTTGTTAATGATGAAGAACTCTGTGTAGATTGTCTATTTTGTTTATTTTGTTCTGTCACTTCTATCATTTCCTTAAAATCTGAAAAAAATTGAAGAATAATGATGTATGTAATAAAATTGAGAATGGAAATGGGGAATGTGTCAAAGAGACAACAACCCGACCATAGAACAGACAACAGCAGAAGGTCACCAATACATAGATATAAAAGAAAAATGTATCAAAATAGATTCTATAGATATAGATATACATAGTTACATGAGATACAATAATCCTCCACTCAAGATAAATTGAAATTTTTTGACATAAGGCTTGCAGAGCTCTTTATATATCTAAAATTTTACTAAAAATGAAAAAATATTGTTTACCAAAAGACTGGCAAGGTAAAGTTTAAATTAACTCTAAGAAATATATTGTTATGTCAATTCGGCTAATCCCTCTGATCATGAAATTATACTCATACATACGTGGATTAATCTTTTTATTGTGTGTACCAATTTTCGTAGATTAAGGAAAAATTGTCTTTTCATGGATATTTGATTTAGTGGTTTTATAAGTCAGCATACAAGCCTATAGAATTTGTAATTCAGTGAACATTTAAATGTGTGGTTCTCCTGTACCCATGAAAACTACAAAAATTGGTATCCCTCAAATATAATGAATCCACAGTATATATATTTTTATATCCAAGATGTCTCACATGACTTAATTGGTAAGGCAGAAACTGCATATTGACAGAGGTATTTGAAGTTATCACATCTAGGATGTATTCAAAACAAACTTTATAATATGAAAAATGCTTATTCAAGTATAATATACTGCATTTTGTATAAAAAGTTCAGTAGCAAATCTAGTTCAATTTATAATCTCTATCATTTAATGTCTCTAGTGAATGGATTAGAATCACAAAGATCTAACAAAAGTATAATGCAAAAGAGAGGCGAAAGACACCAAAGGGATATAAAAGATATGCAAAATTGTTTTAGTATACAACACCATTAGGTATACATACCTGGCAAATTAGATTTGATAGCCATTGACAAATGTGTGGTCCCTCGTAACAATTCCAATGCTCGATTGTGCGTAATATTCTGAAAATTCTGACCATTCACTTCCATTACCTGCAAATAAGATAACATATATTTAAAAGATGTAGCTACAGAAAAGCATCCAATTTAATGTTTTTTTTACTAATGATAACAATTCATATTTGCACAATTTAATTGAAATCAAACATACTGGTGCCGTTTCACAACCGTCCCAGATTAGGGAAGGTTTGAGCGCTCACAAACATGTTTAACCCCACCACATTCTTTGTGTCTGTCCCAAGTCAGGAGTCTGTAGTTCAGTGGTTGTCATTCATTCATGTTTGTCGTATTTTTTTTTCGTTAATTGTTTTGTTATAAATTAGGCTGTAAGCTTTCTCAATTGAATTGTTTCATATTTTTCATGTTGGGGCCTTTTATAGCCGACTATACGGTATGGGTCTTACTCATTGTTAAGGTTCATGTGGACCCTTTGGCTAAAATGACTGCATTTTCACCTCAAAATTTACTCTGAGTACAGACAAACCTGCGCATCTGGAAAAGTTTTAAGGCATAGCATGCCCTAGATAAATAAACTTCTAATGCATTGTATGTTTTAGAAAATTTAAAACTTAACTGGATTTAGGAGTGCACTTTTTTTCGTCCCTGCAGAAGATGATAAAATTAACAAACAGTTGAGTTTCACTTGATATGGTCCACTTAGGTACACAGTTTAAATCACCAATTATTGTCAGGTATCTATTGTCCATCTATTGTCCATGTCAATCAAAACAGTTCACTTCAATTATTACCTGTGGGGAAGTTCTCAAACCTCTTTCCCAACTTAGTTTATTTTGGCACCTTCTGGAGGAATGAAAAAAAGTGCACTGCAAAATCCGGTTAAGTTTTTAATTTTCTAAAACATAAAATATATTTGAATTTTATTTATCTAGGGCATGCTATGCCTTAAAACTTTTCCAGATGCACAGGTTTGTCTGTACTCAGAGTAAATTTTGAGGTGAAAATGCAGCCATTTTAGACGAAGGGTCCACATGAACCTTAAAGGCCATGTGGTTGTCTATAATTGCTTACATCTACTTCATTTGAACTTTGGTGGATAGTTGTCTCATTGGCAATCATACCACATTTCCTTATTTTTATATTGACAACAGCCAACTTTTAGAAATTCTATCATAAAAAAAAACCAAAAACATAAGACTATTTAATACATTATAAGCCAAGTTTATTCAAGTGACTTTAGCAATGTCTCTTATATACTTAAATGATCAAACTCCATTAAGACTTTATTGCAATATTACTGTAATAAAATTGAGAATGGAAATGGGGAATGTGTCAAAGAGACAACAACCCGACCATAGAAAAGACAACAGCAGAAGGTCACCAACAGGTCTTCAATGCAGCGAGAAATTCCCGCACCCGGAGGCGTCCTTCAGCTGGCCCCTAAACAAATATATATACTAGTTCAGTGATAATGAACGCCATACTAAACTCCAAATTGTACACAAGAAACTAAAATTAAAAATAATACAAGACTGACAAAGGCTAGAGGCTCCTGACTTGGGACAGGCGCAAAAATGTGGCGGGGTTAAACATGTTTATGAGATCTCAACCCTCCCCCTATACCTCTAGCCAATGTAGAAAAGGAAACGCATAACAATACGCACATTAAAATTCAGTTCAAGAGAAGTCCGAGTCTGATGTCAGAAGATGTAACCAAAGAAAATAAACAAAATGACAATAATACAGAAATAACAACCCTTTCTGTTCCATTGGTTAAGGTATGCTAGAAAATATGTAAGGTATTGCTTCATGATTTGAAAATATTCCTAAAATGACAAAAATTATGAGAATTTGCATCTCACCTTCCTTGTTTTGAAGAAATCAAATAAAACTACATGTTTTGAAGTGTGTAAACTCACCTGGTCACCCCTTTTGAGGCCTGCCTCATAAGCTTTGGATCCCTTTTCAACTTTAGAAATGAATATACCACATCCTCTCTCTAAACCTCCCAGGACAGAAAAATGCAGCACCTCTTCTCGTGTAGCACGAGTTAATGTCACACTTCTTGTCCTAGCTTTAGCACCACAGGCGATATTCAGTAACCTGAGTTGACCTGTCATTCCCTGTAGATAAAACAGCACACTTATTAGTCAATATCATCAGCTAAGATTTCTGAATTAGGCAATCATGACATAAAAGATTTTCTTATAAACATCTACTTTTCCTTTCCTTAAGGTTGAAATTATGTTTTCTTTGTATAATGTTTTTTTGCAGTACTGTTAGCTAAGTAGATCTGTTAGTAAGATGTGTGTTCATTTTCTATTCCTCACTGCAATAACAATTATTATTTTAAACTTTTGAAATATCACCTGATCAAGTATTTATCCTAGTCAGATCAAATAAAATATATGACTTTGTGACTGATTATGAACATGTCTTATTTCAAGGTGGATTAGTTCTTTTTTATCTAGTTCCATTGTATGGTGTTACTGAAGAGTTTTAAGTTTTTTTCATACAAGTTTAATTTCACCATTACTACATGAAAATTTGTCAAATTTGTCAACTATGTCTTGTTAACACCATCATAAATGACCTTCACAAAGTCAATAAAGTGATCAGACTAAAATATTATTCCTTAGGTTTTGTAGCTCTGATTCCTTTAATACCAGACTTTGGCTATACTTTTTGTCCTTTTGGTTCAATCAACTCTTCAATTTTTTAACAACTTTTTCAAATATTTTTGCCTTGAGCATCACAGAATGGACATTAATTGTTGAAAAGCGTATCTGGTGCAGTAAAATTAGTACTGTACATGTTATTTTATGGTATATTATATAAAGGTATTACTCCATTTGATAACAAATTATGTAACAGTACCTGAGTTTCTAGCATAGCTTCAAAGCTCTCCAGAAATTCACTCAAAACAGAATCTGTTTCAAAGTCAATAAAATGATTGTTGACCCACAATAACACAACCCGTGTGACCTGAAATAAAAATGTATTGAAGTTAATATCAGAAAGGCAGCATAAGCTAAGATGATAAAATATGTTACAACTAATGTAAGTTAATGTTGCCTAAGAGCTAAGAAAAATTAACTTTATAGCACAATATATATCAAATACTGTTAGTTCAGAAATTCTTGTATTTGTTTTTGGTGTACAAAAATGGGAGATGAATTATAACGAATCCAGGGAAAGCTGCATACAAATAATGCTATCAAATATTTATTTCTGGGGAAAATTTCCTGTCACAATTTTTGTAAAAATAAAAACATTTCAAAAAGTTTCAGCTACTGCAGTAATTATAATCTGGAAGTTTAGAAGTGAAATGTATAATTTAAATCATGCTTACACTGCATAAATCAGCCTTCATAACTGACGGCAAAACAAGAGCATTAAACACCTGTCTGAACATCATGTTGCAGACGGCAGAACGAATCCAACTCCTGTATATAAAATAAAGAATATCACAAAATTTCAAGTGACTTCAGTCCAAAAGCTACTTACCTTATTTCGTAATGTTGTTTGGTTGAACCATGTTTGAAGTCTGTAAGCTAATTCCATGGGACTTTTGAGAAATATTCTGTAACAAAGTAGGAAGTCTTCTACAAACGTAGGATCAACAGCTGAATGTTCCTGTACCAGATGGTTCATCAAGTGATCCGGTGACGCCTGAAATTATATAATTGATAGATTGATTGTTGTTTGCTATATGTCCTGTGTCAAATATTTCATACATATTCAATAAAAAAACTTATTAACAATACATCCAATTGGTAAGTCTTGAAAATTGGGACAATCAGGATGAAAGTGCAGAAATTTGGACTACCACTTCAAAAAGAGTTTTGTTGGATAGTGGCAGCAACTTTTGCTAGCAAAAGATCACCTATGAACCCCTTAAAGATGTTAAATTGATATTACTGTTAACTGTTGTTGTCATAACATTTAGTATAAACTTAATTGTCAGACATAATTTGTCAGGAGTCAAATTTATGTTCCAGACAATTATCCAAGAAAAAAGAAGACTTTTCTTCACAATTGGTTTCTAACATCTCAGACTATTAACTGATTATCATCTTAATGTTCCCTGTCAAATGTTGAGGTTTTCAGTCAACAATTACCAAATTTTAAGTACAGTTTCAAAATTTTGTGTAAATCAATCAAATTTTACGACTTACCCTAATTATAATCTGTCCTCGTCTGTTACCTCCGTCAAACACTCTATGTTCTGTTACCATGACAACCTCCCCGTCTTCCACATGTCGTTTTGTGTTTTCCTTGCCCTGGTTCATGATTTCATAGTAATCTTGTTGAGCAATGCTAAGAAACTGACAATCATCAACAATGGTTCTCATGACCCCCTCATGGAATATTTTATCTAAGGTTGGGTTTGTTATACCAAAGCTGCAAAAGAAACACATAGCTTCCTTTATATCTATATGATGAGAACTCCAGCCTATTCCTTAAGAATAAATTTTTTAAACTACAGCATTAAGATCAGAATCTTTTTTCATAAGTCTCAAACTTCAAAATTTTCAAGTCATGGACTGATATTTTAATATCTTTCACATAAATTTTGAAGGATGAAATGTACTAATGAAACTTGATCTATTACACTTCACACTTTATAAGTTTTATACTTCAACTCGAAATTCTGAAAGTTTTAATAACAGTTTGCAGTAAGTCCGATAAGATTTTTTAAAGAACACATACTAATACAAATCTTGTTTAAGATTCAATGACCTTTTAAAATTACCTTTTAACCACAATCAACTAAAAAAAACAAAGAAATTATCAAATAAGGAAATCCGAATAAAACAATTCAGCCTCTAACTAGGAAATTTCATATATCATTGACCTTGCAAAGAAACTTTAATATAAGTGACATAAATCCTTATTTTGTTCAAAATAAAAACATTCAATGCTGATGGTCAGTTTGCTAGATAAAATGATCAAATATGAATGATTTTGAAGTTCAAAAATGGTCTGATACTGTATGTCATTTTCAGTTATAGACAAGTTTCTACTTTTGTGGATATTTCCTGGTTGGCTGGTAATTTTTTAAATGTAAGTTGAAGGAAAACTAAGAAAAACAGACATTAGTGTGGCCTATAATTGCTTACTACCACTTCATTTTTCTCTGGTGGATAGATGTCTCATTGGCAATCATACCACATATCCTCATTTTGATATTATCATGGCCATCATTAAAATTTCAGCAGAACTCACCTGTCCCCCATGTACAAAAATTCAGCAGACCCATCTTCCTTCAGGATTTCTACTTGACCATTAAGTATGACTGACCAGGAGTCCAGCTCCTCTTTGTCCTTCATCACAATGGTACCTTTATGTTCAATGACAGCTAGCATCATTACAGCACACAATGCTCGTCTAGTTGGTAAGGTCATGTTGGCAAAAGCCTGTTAAAATAATAGAAAAGTAAAAATCTGTTAAATGTTTTCCCCAACATCTTCCTTTTATTCATGAAACACTATATGATATTCTAAGAAGTAATCATCTTATTAAATGAACAACAATATTACTGCATTTCTAACAAGGAGCTTTTGCTTTCATGTATGTAAAATAAGTTTCATAAGTTATTAAATGACTAACACCATTAAAAAGATCTTTTATTAAGCCTCTACATGAAAGCTTTTTTCATTTATCAAATAAATTTTCACACATGCTTCATTGGGTGGGGTAAAATTATAAGCCTGGTATCTTTGATAATTTATTTTCTTAACTTATCACACATTATCTTCTTGTCCAAAGTAAGAACTAAACAATTCATTCATACTGCAATAGACTCAAGGTAATATAGAGCTTGATACATTTTGTTATAGTTTACAAGTGTGCAGGAGGAATGCAGGGGAAGAAAAGTTATCAATTATGCTTTTTTATTTTTTTTAAACATAAACTGTTAACACAGAGATATGTCTCGCCTATTTGTTATTTTGATAATGCAAATGTTGAAATTAAAATAGCAATACTTTTTTTTAATATGTAAGTTATGCAAGTATTCAAAGTCAATGAACCATGACTGAAGGTACAGGGCTAAACAATCTCCATGGAAATGAGATGTGCCAATACTAATACAACTGTATACCAAATACCACTGAAATCTCAAAGGTCGTTCCCTTTAAACAAACACAAACAATAACTTGTAAACTATGTAAAAGTTTCAAAGTCAATGAACCATAATGAGGGTGTGGGGTTATATAATCTCCATGGAAATGAAACTTGCAAATAAATATCATCGACTTAACATTAGTGGTTCATCTTAAACTGACCTTATCACAAACTAATACATGTAAACGAAGAAAAGGTTTCAAAGTCAATAGACCATGACTGAGGGGGCTGGGCCAAATAAGCTCCATGGAAATGAGATATGCCAATGCTTATACAATTGCATACCAAATATCATTGACCTACCACTAGTGGTTCCCCATAAACTGACCTAATCACAAACTAATACATGTATACTAAGCAAAAGTTTCAAAGTCAATAGACCATGACTGAGGTGGCGGGGCTAAATAATCTCCGTGGTAATGAGATGTGCCAATGCTAATACAACTGCATACCAAATATCATTGACCTACCACTAGTAGTTCACCATAAACTAGACCTAATCACAAACTAATACATTGTTGACGACGCTGATGCCGAAGCCGACGCAGGAAACAACATACCCATGTCTCGCTTTTTGACTCCGTCAAGGCGAGACATAAATGGGGAATGTGACTTGGACACAGATGATGCCCCCGCTTGTATGTCATATAAAGTTATAAAGGGACATAACTGAAGAACGGTAAAAGTGACTCTGAGTTTTGTGGTAATAAGTATTGTGTATAAGTTTCATAACATTTGGTTGAGGCAAACTTAAGTTAGAGAATGGAAACGAAAAATTCAGCAATTTTTCCCTATGTAAAGGGGCATAACTATAGAACAGTAAAAGTGACACCACCAAAATTCAATCTTGATCTGTATTCTGTGGTAATTAGCATTGTATATAAGTTTCATAACATTTGGTTGAGGCTAACTTAAGTTAGAGAACGGAAACGCAAAATTCAGCAATTTTTCCATTTGTAAATGGGCAAAACTCTAGAACAATAAAAGTGACACCACCAAAATTCAAACTTGATCTGTATTTTGTAGTAATAAGCATTGTGTATAAGTTTCATAACATTTGGTTGAGGCTAACTCAAGTTAGGTAACAGAAACCAACTTTGGGACGTACATAGGTACGTACAGACGGACAAGGGTAAAACTTAATGCCCCCTCCACTAGGGCGGGGCCATAAAAATGAGCAATGTCTGAGCTACCTTACAAAGTCTAAGAACATTAGGTACACTGCAACAATACTACTACAATTATATTTCTATTATGCAGTCTGTATCCCAATTAAACATAACAGTACAACCAGCAATAAAGAACAATAAGGATGTATGGACACTTGTTTAGTATTGAGACCATATGTTACCCTGTATGGGTTTGGGTTAAAATCTCATTCACTCACTTCTGAAGTCTGACAAACTGCAAGTAGATATAGGAAGATGTGGTATGAGTGCCAATGAGACAACTCTCCATCCAAGTTACAATTTATATAGATCTGTTCTTGCTTTACAATATATATTGTATTTTTATATGACTTGTGTGTTACATCATAGATTTAATAGCTACACTATGAGATTTTCAAGATTCATCAAAGTAAAGTTTCGATTACCATATATGTTCTTGGATAGACAGAAAATTATCCACCATAAAATATCAAGTCATTGGAGGGCATATACAAATACAAAATTTTCAATGGACCCTTCATATCCTTGTATATTCCCTCTACATGCTATCAGAGTTGCAACTTAGGTCAATCTATAACCTCAAGGACTGTACTTTTTCTTAATAAACCCCCTAAACTGTTGAAAATAATAATAGAAAAGGTTTAGATTTATGTGACTTTTGCCTGTACTTTTGTTTGTTTTCGTAATTGCTAAGTATTTATTTCAATATACATGTAACTATATATAAATCACTGTGTCTATTTTTGCATTCTTCCACTGGACTAAAGCCAAACCTACTTCACAAGCTTACAAATAACTAGATATCAACATGTGAAGCAAATCCAATTCCTAAAGATGCAATTTTCTTATCATAATCATTCTATTTATAATAATGTTGCATTTTGAACAAGTTGGGGAAATCTTTCTTTTTGTAACTTCCATATCCATATTTTTTCTTCAAATCTTACTCTAAAATGTTGTATAAAGTCTAGCAGTATTTCAATATCATCATCAGATCTGTCTTGGGGGTGTTTTTGTAAACATTCTTGTACTGTGTCTCTCTGTGACTGAAAAAGACATTATAACATTATAAAATAAAACTGTCAACACAGAGACATGTGTCTTGAATGCTTTGCAGCAAATCAAAAACAGCAGCTTTGATAAATCAGCATAGGTATTACTGTATGTATAGAAGAGTGGATAAACCTTCCAAAATACTAAAATTCAGAATGATTACTCCCATGCTAAACTCATTCAGTCTTCTGAACTTATCATTTTACAGTGTAAATACTTTTAATTTATTGGAGCGAGATTATAGACCTCCAAATCTTTTTTTGAGACATTCACATGATAATACAATAGCATTCAAAATATCATTGGTCTTTCAATAAATTTATTTTTCGTAAACACACCTGATTAGATTTCACAGATGTAAAAATTCAAAACAAACTTAAGTGTGATTGGAGAGTGGGTAATAATATATATATACTGCTTGTGAAGTCATATGAAATTGAGAATGGAAACAGGGAATGCATCAAAGAGACAACAACCATTATATACCCTAGCTGTCCCTGGGGCACTGTATATATATTGCTTGTAACTTAAGTCTAGGAAGTCATATACCCTAGCTAACCCTTGGGCACTGAAATATCAATATAGCAAGTTAAACAAAATGCTGCCATAACTTTTGAGCCCAAGGATAGATCAGAATCGTAGATAAACTTTTATCATGCCCCCTGGGACCTCTGCTTTCATGCAGAAAAACAGATCTAAGACAGACATTACTAAACAGTTAATTATGTTACCAGTGCAATGAATGTAATATGCATATTATATAATTTATCATTTCATATACACAATCGTTCTCTTATCTCTTTAATGTGTCTAATAATCTGTGGAGAATTCTAAGTGCTGCCTTTACCACAATATGTCAGATGTTTTCGTACTTTCTACTTTTCAGTTATAGTACAAACATGTTTTCTATAGATCATGAGAAAAATGCTCTTTATTTATATTTTAGGACTTTGACGTTGATTGGTGATCTTTGATAGTCTCTGTTAAATTTGATAACAATTTTCTAGACTTTGGACCACATATTTCTTTTGTTCATTTTTTAATGGAAAAATTTCTTTGATTTATAGAAGAAGACTCTTAAATTATCTAACAATAAACCCTATTCTTTATTCATTTTTCTGATAGAATTCAAAACATTGTAAAGAATACCATGAAGATAGAAGAATAGTCAGAAGTGATACTATCTGGTACACTGTTCAGGTTTCATATAAGTTAACAATTTTTCAAATGAATAAACAGTTAAAACTAAAAAACAATAAATTAAGAAGACACAATAATTTTGAGATCACAACCTTTGGGATAATTAAGAGCTAGCAGAAGATATGCTTATAACAATAAGAGAAAGGATGGTCAATCATAAGACATTGATTTCAAGATTATTCAATTAATGATAATTGTAATTTTTTGTTTAGACTGCTTAAAGTACAGCAGGTTTAAGGACCGTACCTTACATTATTTTATTTTATTTAATAACAGATTATTTAAAGAAAGCTTCTACAGAAGATATAAATCTGCTATAATAAACAAGTATTAAATTGATTTTCTGCATGTTTAATAACAGATTGCCACATGTAACATTCAATAAAACAGATAGGATTAATAGTGTTCATCTGGCAATTTGCTCCATCAACAATTTAGGAAGCAGTTTTCTACCAGCCCATCAATTGGAATAAAAACATATGTTTTACAGCCAACTTCAAACAGGTCATCTATAAGTAGGTTATTATGCACAATGAAAACAAACTGTAATGTACTAATTCAAGTACAAGTCTGCAAACCTTTGTTATAATAAGGGAGACACATTATAATGTACTAATTCAAGAACAAGTCTGTAAATCTTTGTTATAATAAGGGAGACACACCAAGTGCCACAACTTTATCAACAACAAATGACACACTTGAATATTTTCATCTAATCATGAATTATCATTGCTTCATACATAAATGACTTCTGGAAGTAAGGTCAAGACCATATGTCGTATGCCAGACAGACATGTAATCTCTAAATCAATTCAAAGACAGAATGTTTTTATGCAGAGTTACTGAAGGACATCACCTGACCACTGGAGGGAGAAAATTGGGTCAAGGACATATAACATATGTAAGACATATACTCATTGCTATAAATAAACATACCAAATATTGCTAACCTACCATGTATAGATACTAAGGAGCAGACCTCATCCAGAAAAATTCATCTGACCACCGGAGCATGAAATTAAGGTCAATAGTCTGACTAGCCAACTAAATGATATTTGTTAGGCAGACATATATTCATTGCAACAAATCCACATACTGTGGATTCAATACTATTTGTGGGATATCAATTTTTGTGGATTTCTTTGGTATGGGGAAACAACAAATTTAAGTATCCAACGAAGTACAAATTTACTTTAGGCTTGTATCCAGACTTTGACAAAACCAAAAAATCAAATATCAACAAATAATTCATTTTTCCACAATCCACGAACTTTGGTATCCACCAAATCCAAATATAACTGACCTACCTACCATCCAAAGTTACTGTGGAACAGACCTCTTCCAATAACCTGACAACTTGAGTGTGACATTGAGGTCAAGGCCAAATGAAATACAATAGACAGATGTACTCCTTGTAACCAATGCACAGACCAAATACCATTGACCTATCATGTATATTTACTATTTTAGATATTGAGATTATTTGCAAACAGTTATAAACACTGCCAAAAATGCATTAACTATTTCTTGTTGAAGAATAACAAACTAAATTCAGCATTTGTCCTGATATTAACTCCAATATCAGTTATAATAGTGATTGTAAACAAAACACTGGATTAAATCAGATACTGACCCTTGGGAAATGTGTCAAGTTAGCTGATATCATATAAAGATCTCCCAAAGCCAAGAAGAAAGGCCATTTTCTGAAGAAAATCTAGTCTCCCAACATTTTAATACTTTGAATCTTTAGATGTGCAAATGATGATAAAAATCTATATATATTCTATTCTTCTAACCTTCAAAATGGATCTCCCATATTCATAATTGAAACTTCTTACTTGCGTTTTTTACTATTGGTAGCCTTTTTTTTTCTTATTTTATCAAAAATATCTTAAAAAGAACCTTATTTCCATCTTTCTCAGGTTTATTCTAAGCAAACCACATTCAGACTAAGAACATATTATTACTCCAACAGTAATTGTAAAACAATCCCCCACAAAACCTACCCCTGTGGATTCAGCATATCCTTCCTCATCATCAGAATCCACCATACTCTCAGGTAATCCACTAATATCCATATCCACATTTTCCTGGTCATCGATGGATGACTGCATCATATCAGAACCTGAATAAGCACTAGATGTGTCACTTGCTCGTGAACATCTTTTCATATATTGTTCATTTCGTAAATACTGTTCACGCAATCCATAATCGGCAGATAACTGTAAATAAAAACAAAATATGCCTTTGGGAGTGAAAACAATTGATTTGTATGTCAAACATGTAATATAACACAGAAATATGATTTTCATTTATGACTGAATCATAGTTATTCAAGCTAAAGATCAATTTTGATTTTGACTACAAGTGTTCCATGACTGTTTAAGGCAAACATTGAATTATGTGATTCAAAGGTTAACTTAAAATTTACTGATTCATTCATGACAATTGTCGGAACACTGATGCATGCCCACTCTATATGGACTATTAAACACCACTGTACTAGTTTGGGGGATGGGAGACAAAGCTACAATGTATATATGGGGATATGTGATGTCAAGGAAAGTTTGTGTGATAAGTTGCAGAGTTCTCCCCACAACCCTTACATCAACATGATATAAATAGATTTATAATTGAATGTATTATAAATGTCTTAACATAGTTACGGAAACAGTCCCAAACAGTGTCTCATCCCATATGTTGTTATTTGAAAAACAACGAGTTGCATTCAGTGACATATGTGAATAAAACCTCAATAAATATTTTTTTATGCCAGGTTTACAATAGAAGGGCCTATGGGGATACTATGTTTTCTGGTTTGTGTTTCCCGTATTAGGTAAATGTTTTGGTTTATGGTAATTTGAAGCTTAGTTCATATGTTCATTATGGCGTGAACTTTCCAAAATATATGCTTACCGTAGTTATGGTTCTGACCCAGATTTTGTGGTTTACTGAATATGGAAATATGATAGTGACAGTGGGACTTGGTGTCCTCTGGACATGTATTCTTGGTTTTTTTTTTTGGTCTTTTTTTTTTCATTTTGGTTCAATAAAAACCAGAAGTGCCTTTTAAGTCCCTTTGATAAAACTAACCTGTTCAACAACACTATCAGAATTCATCCTTCGTATAGGTCTGGTCCCTTCCTGGTGGTCAAATTCTATAACACGATCGTTACATGATTGCCGTGAATGGCCACTTTTCATAACCTGGACATCAGGATAGTCAATCTGAAAAAACATAATAAAAAATAAATTAATGAAAACTACAGATGGAATCCACAAATCTATGAATAAAACTTTTATATTGCTTACGGCTAACTGTGTCCATACAAATCCTTGTTTATAATAATTCTCAGTAACAATTGATGAGTCCACATGCACTGGTAAATGTTGATTGTTTGCTTAGCATCAAGTAATAGAGCAGTATTTATGGGTTTTACCAGAGTTTTAGGTAAACAATCCATCTTTGCCATGCAGTCACAATTTTTATCATGTAATAGTAGTTAGGGCACAACTTGCTAATGTGCACATGACCTATACCACTACTGTACAAACAGGTAGGCTTGTTTTTTTAATCTAAAATTAACTAACAAAGATGGATCCAAAAGCTATATATTTATTCTTTGAATTGCATGCATAACCAATGTTAACAAATGTGGATTTCATGGGTATAGGTGAACTATGAATTCAACTGTTCAAGGTAGTACAAATTTTCTATAGGCTTGTATGCATGCTTTGGCAAAACCATGAGATCAAGTTTCCGTGAAAATACTATTGTTCCTGGATTTAGGTACCCACGAAAATAACTGAATCCACAGTATACATCCACAGTATACGATAAAATCATATGTAACAAAACAAAGCTCTTACATTCAAATGATCCATTACAGTACTCAATATGTCCATCACTACGACTCTTTATCAAATTTCACTTTTCAGTTTTCATGTCAATTCAAAATAATTCCTAACACACTCTTATAAAGCAAACTATATACAGTAAAAGACAACTATTACACAAGAGTGGAGGAACATGTAACTCTCCTGATATGCTATTCTATCTTATGCTTTCAATACATTCTACTAATTACAAATGCACAATTATGCAAATGGCTAATAACCATTCAGCTTTAACTTCAGGACTTCCTGATTAGGAAGATAAAAGTGTATTTTCATCTCGCTTATTTCTGTAAATCAGGTCGTATGGTCAAATAAGCCAACTACTGGCATCTGCATTCATAATGAAGGTGAATATCTTCCCGAACTTATGATGGAATCAATAAACCATACATTTATGAATATTATCTTAATGGCAATCAGCACCTTTTCTGATCAAGCCAATAGTAATTTCACATTTCAATAACTGATGGGATGTAAATAACATTTGCAATTTCACATTTTTATGTGACCAGCTTAAAAAGGGGGACATTCAAATATCATAAGTTTTAAAAAACTGATATCAGCATGGATAAAAGAGATAATAATAGTCCACAAAACATTACAGAGAACACTAAAGATTGAGCAATAAGAACCTTACCAAAAACTGGTGATGAACTTGGGTGTGCTTGAATGGTCAGCAGCTTATAAAAAGTCTCCTTAAACTTGGAAATGACCTAAACAATTGTATGGTTTCATAATTGATTTGTAATTTAAGATTGAAGAATGGCGCTACAATGTTAAGTAATATATTTCCCAATCATTGAACTTCTTTTTTAAAGAAAACCAACATGGCTGGGATGCATGCAACTGCACAAAAGTCACTGATTCAATCTTTTTTTCAGAAATTTTTAAATTAATGTTTGCCGATCAGATATAAAGCAGGATATCAGTAAACCATATTAGTTTACTAGACAAATTTCGTAATTCATGACAATTTTTAGCATATTTACATCATTCACAACGCCTGATCCAGAAATATTTTATGCCTAGGGATTCAATATTTATTTAAACCATTGCACCTAATGGCTACATAACATTTAAGATAGTAGGTTATGGCCAAGGTTTTCCTAAGGTGTATATTAGGTTTGAAAAAAGCACAAAAGCATTTTATTTTGACAACTTCTCCAAAATGTGCCTATAAAGTTCTCTTTTTGAAAAGATTTATTTTAACTAGCACTAGCAGCTTTTGAAAATGATCCATTTAAGAACCAAATTTTGGCTTTATTGATATTTTATAATAAAGTAGTAAATCACTGCCATATTTTGCCAAAAGTGGATCCTTGTTCCTTTTTTGTAAATTAAAATGGCTGATTTAAGGTTAATTTTTTTATTGGCCTGTCTAGCTCTTCTACCTTCTGAAATATAATACTTAATAATTTAATCTCGTCATAAATGCAGGATTAGGACACGATGTCTCATATCTTGTTAGTGTTACTTTCACAGGCCAAACAAAAATCAGAAAAACAATGTATTTAAGTAACAACTGTCAATTTTGGATGCTTAACGTTTGACAAATACATTATGTTTCAATAGAGCAAAAAAGAAGATGTTATCCATAATACTCACTCAAAAATATGAGTTAATACCAGTCCATTTTGAATTGTCCCCAAAACATTAAATTTCCTTTGTATTTTCCATAAAAATCGTGATCTCTGGACACATGATATTTGTAATAAATTTGTTATTACAACCCTAAATATAAAATCAATCAATTTTATCACTCAATCATCCTTCCTCTATTCTGACAGAATTGATGATGAATCAATAATACTATTTCAAACCCAATACACAAACATAAACAGAATATTCAGAGTAAATGACAACATCCATCTCTCTGCATAAAAGGTCAAAATATTAATCCTGTCTGATATTCCATTCCATCCAGCAAATCTCCTGTAAACAGGTCAAAATTAATCACCATTTACTATTTCTTTTCTTTGAACAATAAATTGTTAAGAATCAAGCATCACCTAAGAGGACACATATCAATAAGGAAACATGATTATTTGGCTTTTGGAAAAATTCATTTTTTATCACCAGCCCATATATCCAAAATGTGACCCCCCAAAAAAAGAAATGAGTACATTTAGTTAAAAAAACAATTATGTACAAAAAAAATTTTTTTAAAAATACATAAATGAAAAAAAAACAAATGTTGACAATATTGACACCTTTGGTATTATATATATTCTACAGAAAAGTTTCGGGAATGGTTAACCATGTGATGATTGTGATTGAAGTTTAGTTTATATATAGACATTCATTACACCTATCATGTCATGAGGATTCTTACAATGGATGGAATACAAAAATGTATGTCCTATGCAACTGTACATCAACATGCATACATTTGTTTATTTAAACAAGACAGTTCAAATTATATAAAAAAAATTTCAATAATGGTACAAAAGTGTGTGGACAAATTCTCAGACAAGGTTAAGAAAAATCTATCTGTTATAGACTGCATTTTTTCCTGTTAAGATCTTTATTTGTCTATTGTGCTAATGTGCTTATTGCTTCAACCTGCTAATCAGTTCTTAGTCAAAGGTCATTCCAAGCTATTTTCCAGTGTGAGTGTAGGACAAAATATTACACAATATCTCCATTATCAGGATTACATAAATCCATTATAACCAGAAACATAAAACAATAGACTGACGTCATCAACTTTATATATAATGATAACCCTTATATCATAAGGATATTAATTTCTGTAGACAGATTCCACTATTTTTTGGTAATAAACTTGGCTCATTAGTTGTTAATTCTGTACTCTAAGCGAGAGAAATATGGAGAAAAAACTACTTGTATTACAATTCCTGTGCACAAAAACAATTGTTTCTGTAGCAACTTCTTCAGGTTTTCTCAAGACAAAAAGTTGAAAAGCCAAAATTATAAAATGTTTAAAGGCATATAGGCCAAACAGGTCTAAATGAAAAAGACAAAAATCATTGAATGTCAACTCTGCCTTGGGGAATTGCAGCTGCAGTTTTAGTGCTATTACATAATCTTATTAACTGAAAGCAGAAATTGTCTTTCGAGTCTATAAGTACCTACAGCTGTATCAACTTTGGAGTACTTTCGTTATATTACATTGCACTGCAAGAAAATTCTGCAGTCATGAGACTATCATGACAACTCATGACAAAACTATTCTAACAGAATAATATTCTATTCAAAGAACAGCAATAAAAGTACTGTTCCTTCACTTTTTGTGTGTTTTTTCTGTGCATGTACTGATTTTGTGTCATGGATGGATACCCCATATCCTTTGTTTCTCTACTAAAGAAACATCAGTGATAAAAATATGATAACAGTCACAATCTTTTTTAATTAAGATCTTTAGTATGCTACATTGGTGGCAGTGACTGATAATTATAAGATGAAAAGAAAACAATTTATTATGATTCCAACTTTCTAACCATCCATTTTTTTACCCGACTATCTTCTCTTTAGTCCATCGTACAAAAAAAACTTTCCAGTCCATTTTCAAACCTTAATTTGTTTTTCGTCCATTATAATTTTGTGGTATTAAGTGTCCAAGGATCAGGTTAGAACGTGATGGTTAATTATTCCCAAAAAGATTGTTAAAAGGATGAGACAATTACTAAGGCAATCGTATATATATTCAGATAAGAGTAACTTCAAACAGACTCTTGAAATTTTGATAATATTCCATATTACATAAATAATATTCTCAAACAATTTTTGCCATTTTTCTTCTGAAAAAATTAGAAAAATAAAGAGTGAATCTGAAGGAACTTCCCCTAGATTACCAGGAAACAAAGAATTTTGTCACTGTCTTTCTTAGTTTGGCTATGGAAACTACCAATGACCTCAGAATTTATTTTTAATATTTTCAGTTTCACCAGACATTTTCTTCAACAGGAAAGCAAATATGGGAAGTTTGGGTGAGCATCAAGACAATGAAAACTTTTACCTTTTTTTCCTCAGGACCATAAACTATTTAGAACTCCTCTTTAACAGGAAGAGATAATAAATTCTCTACAAAGTTCACGTCCACATTTTGACATTTAGAAACAGATAACTAACCTGACGATTCCGTAAAAATTCTCCCAATGGATGACAACTTTACATTGGAATCGTAGTATATTCTCCTACATTGTTAATTAAAACAAAATTTTATATCCCACTGACATTCCCAAGTGCCTGAGAAAAAAATCCATAATTCTCTATATTACAATGATAAACTGAGAAACACAATATTGCTGTCTTTTTTAATTCTGAATCCAGTGATATTCCATAGAAAACACTTTACTTTTTGCATTTTT